TATTGAAAAAAAATTAAAAAAAATAAAATTGCAGTGAAAAAAAAAATAAAAACAATTTTTTTAATGTTTATTTATTTTTCAGAGAGAGAGAGAAAGAGAGACAGAATGAGCAGGGGAGGGGCAGAGAGAGAGGGAGACACAGAATCTGAAGCAGGCTCGAGGCTATGAACTGTCAGCACAGAGCCCGATGCGGGCCTTGAACTCACCAACCGTGAGATCATGACCTGAGCTGAAGTTGGGCGCTTAACTGACTTAGGCACCCAGGCACCCCTGTTCTGTTGTCATTAAAACTCAATGTCATTGAGGGGCACCTGGGTGCCTCATTCAGCTCAGGTCATGATCTCATAGTTTGTGGGTTCGAGCCCTGTGTTGGGCTCTGTGGTGACGGATGAAAGCCTGGAGCCTGCTTTGGATTCTGTGTTTCCCTCTCTCTCTCTGCCCCTTCCCCGCTCATGCTCTGTCTCTTTCTCTCTCAAAAATAAACAAAATTTTAAAAGATTAAAAAAAAGCCAATCCCCAATGATTGCATGCTGTATGATGCTATTAATACATTCCCAAAATAATAACATTAAAGAGATGAGAAACAGATTAGTGGTTGCCAGAGTGACGCTGGGTGGGTATGCCTGTAAAACACCTTTGCAGTGATAGAACTGTTCTGAGCCTTGATTGTAGCAGTGCTTATGAAAATCTGCCTATGTAATAGAATGGCATAAAACCACACACACACACACACACACACACACACACACAGAAATCCATGTAAAACTAGTAAAACCTGAGGTCTATGGATTTTCATAATTAATTTCTTGGTTTTGATATTATACTGTAGTTACAGAAGGTGTAACCACTGAGGAGAAATTGAGTGAAGCATACAGGGAACTCTGTACTATATTTTGCAATTTTCCGTGAATATGGAACTGGAAGGTATTATGCTAAGTGAAATAAGTCAGTCAGAGAAAGACAGATACCATATGTTTTCACTCATATGTGGATCTTGAGAAACTTAACAGAAGACTATGGGGGAGGGGAAGGGGGAAAAAACATAGCTACAGAGAGGGAGGGAGGCAAACTGTAAGAGACACTTGGATACTGAGAACAAACTGAGGGTTGATGGGGGGTGGGGGAGAGGGGAAAGTGGGTGATGGGCATTGAGGAGGGCACCTGTTGGGATGAGTACTGGGTGTCGTATGGAAACCAATTTGTCGATAAATTATATTAAAATAAATAAATAATTAAAAATAAATAAATGAAAATATTTTTCCTATGAAAAAAATGAAAAATAAAACTAAAAAGCAGAAGTACAGAGTGTGGCATGTTTATGTGCTGAATAACATGGTTATCTTAATTTTTTTTTCATGTTTATTTATTTATTTTGAGACAGAGAGAGAGTGAGCGCGAGCAGGGGAGGGGCAGAGAGAGACGGAGAGAGAGTATCCCAAGCAGGCTCTGCACTGTCGGCACAGAGCCCAACGTGGGGCTTGAACTCCTGAATTGTGAAATCATGACCTGAGCTGAAACCAAGAGTTGGACACTCAACTGACTAAGCCACCCAGGTGGCCCAAGAGCTCTGTGCTGACACTGTAGAGACTGCTTGGGATTCTCTCTCTCTGCCCCTCCCCAGCTCATGCTTATTTACACACTCTCTCTCTCTCTCAAAATAAATAAACTTAAAAAAAAAAAAAGAGTTGGATGCTTCACTGACAGTCACCCAGGGGCCCCATGGTTATCTTTTACAATTATTATCAATTGTAACTGCACATTCAATTCCAGTCTTAGTACACTGTCAACTTGGTGAGGGGAGGGACCACACCTGACTCAGCATCTTCTCCCCTCTGCCTGGCACAGGTCACGTGCCCAGTGATGTCCATCGTATTAAATTCCCTGGTAGTCCCTGTGCTGTGTGCTTCCATACATTTTCATTCAACCTTCACAACAACCTTATGAGGCATGATTATTCTTACTTGGCTGATGAGGCCCTGAGGCACTGAGAGGGCTGGTCAATTGTCTAAGGCCAATGCAGCTGGACAGATGAGGACACGTTCTCTGCTCTTGAGGAGGTCAGAGCAGAGCAGGGGAGCCCATGGTAGCTCCAGGGTTTTTTCTTGATAACTTCCAGATATAGATTTGAGACTCCTCACAAGGAGCTGGAGAGAGAAGTAACCTACCTGTGGAGCTGGAGAAGTGGGCTGGCACCATCGAGGTCCCTGGGAAGTGCACAGGAGTCACAGGAGCTAAGGATGAATAGTCTGGAGTAAGAAGGGGACTCAGAGTAGGGAGTCTTTCCTGTCCAGCTAGAGCCACTGAATGTAGGAGGAACTGGGTAAGACCGTCAGGTCTCCCAGCCACTTCTCTTCCCCAGGCCCTGGGGCAGGGGATCAGTGGCTGTCCACCAGGGGTCCACAGCATGTAGTCATCAGGGCTTTGGGTACTCACCACTGGGTGTGGGGGCTGAGGTCCAGTGGGTGTAACCTGAAATGAGAAAAGGAGACAGAACTGGGATGCAAGCAGGAAAGAGAGGTCCATGATATAGCCCAAAGCCCACCAGTCCCTACCCCCAACTAAGACTTCAAGTCTATGCAGTTCAACAATTGTGATTCAGGGGTAACTTTACCTTGTTTCTAAAAGGCTGAGAAATCAGAGACCTGGTCCCCTGTCTTCATGAACTTGCAATTTATTTGGGAAGACAAATACACTAACATTTCTAGAAATGGGGTTATCAACTGTGCTTTTCAGGCTCCAGAGGGGATTTTGAGATAGACGCTGACAGGGACAGAGATGGCCAGATCTTTGAATAGCCATTGACTTCAGCCAGAGAGATATCCTCTTTTATCAGTCTGGATAAAGACTTTGTGGCCCAGACAAGTATATAAATCACAGCCCTGAAATGCAGGGCTGCAAAGAGAAAAAAAGGATTTGCAAACTGGAGGGCCTATGGGGGTCCTTGACTCATTAAGGGATATCACGCAGGTGGAGAATAACACATAGGGTGGGTTCTATGATGAACTGGAGAGTTCACATCCCTTGCGGGCGGGCGGTGGGGGGCAGATTCTTAGCTTTAACTTGTGGTTACAAAAAAGGTTGCTCACCATTGACATAGAGGCTGTTCTTGTCCAGGGTGAAGGAGCCCAGCTGGGTGACACCATGGGTCTGATGGCTCAGCTCCCAGTACAGCTTCTCCCTGTCTAGCTTAGGACCCATGGGGTCAGGATGGTGAGTACAGACAGCATCAACTCCAGTGGCTGTTCCCTTTTTCTCAGGCCTGGGCAGGGAAAGACACAGGAAAGGGGAGGTGGGGACTCCAGGTAGGAGCCCGGGAAAGCCCTACTGAAGGAGGGACAGAGAAAGCAGAAGGGCTAGTGGACAACCTGGAACAGCCTTGGTGCTGGGTGAGGGCTGGAAATGATTAGGACAACCAAGGTCCTTGAGCACAGAGGATATGCAGCATCTCCAAATACTGATGCCTTGTGCTGAGCTTTAAAACGGAGCTAGAGTATATTATTCTAAGTGAAACAAGTCAGTCAGAGAAAAACAAATATCATATGATTTCACTCATATGTGGAAGTTAAGTAACAAAATAGATGAACATAGGGGAAAGAGAGCAAAAATAAGATAAAAACAGGGAGGGAGGCAAACCATAAGAGACTTTTTAAAAAATGTTTTTATTTATTTTTGAGACACAGAAAGACAGAGCATGAGCAGGGGAGGGGCAGAGAGAGAGGGAGACAGAATCTGAAGCAGGCTCCAGGCTCTGAGCTATCAGCACAGAGCCTCACATGGGGCTTGAACTCACGGACTGTGAGATCACGACCTGAGCTGAAGTCAGCCGCTTAACCGACTGAGCCACCCAGGCACCTCCAGAGACTCTTAAATACAGAGAACAAACTGAGGGCTGCTGGAGGGAGGTGGGTGGGGGATAGGCTAAATGGGTGATGGGCATTAAGGAGGGCGCTTGTTGGGATGAGCACTGGGTGTTGTATGTAAGTGATGAATCACTGAGTTTTATTCTTGAAACAGATGCTAACAACAGATGCATGATGGAGAGGACTTAGACAAAGTAAGAAAAGGCAATATCAAATTGCTTAAACCCCAGCTCTGCTGCTCAGTTGCTGGCTGACTCTGAGTAAGTCTCTCAACCTGTCTGTAGCTCATTGTTTTTTTCATCCATCAAATGAGGTAATAGGACAGACCCTACAGCACTTAGCACTAGTAAATGCTCAGTAGAAGACAGCCATTTTTATTAGGCATTAATAGGGCCAAAGTTCTTGGTGTGAATGGACCTTGCAGTGAGAGAGACTGAGCCTTTTCAAAGAAACAGTGAGGTCAGCAGGCAGCCTTGGGTGGAGAGGGGCATGAGGCTGTGTGGTATCTGAGAGCCAGAGAAATCTCAAGGCCAGCGGAAAGGGGAAGACATAGCATTGTGGCTGGAGGACAGTGATGTCTTTGGAGCTGAGGGCATTCCATCCTCAGACAAAAGGTCAGTGATTGGGAGATCTCACACAAAGAGTAAGGTGAGCCAAGTGCACATGTGGGGGCTCCCACATGCTAGAGTTATTCTCAGTACCTAGGTCTAGGCAAGGTCACGAATAATTTACTGTGTGTTCTTTATATGTTAGTTCCTTTGCTAACTAAGCACCTTTCATTTTAATCCTCAGTATGCTCACACAAATTCTTTCCTTCAGTCAGAAGTGGAGTCTGCTTCGGGGTGCCTGGGTGGCTCAGTCAGTTAAGTGTCTGACTTCAGCTCAGGTCATGATCTTGCAGGTTGATCTCATGGAGTTCAAGCCCCGCGTTGGGCTCTGTGCTGACAGCTCAGACCCTGGAGCCTGCTGCTTCAGATTCTGTGTCTCCCTCTCTCTCTGTCCCTTCCCTGATCACACTCTATCTCTGTCTCTGTCAAAAATAAATAAACATTAAGAAAAAAAAAAGAAGCAAAGAGATTCCATCTCTTGAATCTGGGCGTGGCCATAGAACTGGAATTGGCCAATGCACGTTCACAAATGTGATACAAGCAATGGCTTGGAAGGCACGTGTGCAATAGGGCTTGCCATTTCTTGCTGCTCTTGGAACTCTGAGCGTGTGAATGAGCCCAAGCTAGCCTTCTGGAGGATGAGACAATGTGGAGGAGAACCAAGGTATCCCAGACAGCAGCTGACTGCAGACACAGGAATGAGCCTCATCTGACATCAGCTGAGCCAACCCAGGCAGGAGAATCTTCCAGCAGAATCATGGGCTAACTTTGTTGTACAAGAAAGCAAATTGAGATACTTCAGCTGACAGGTGAGAAGGTAGAGGCACAGAGATGTTAAGTAACTTGTTCAGGTCACACAGCCTTGAAGTAGGAGAGATAGGCCTGTCAGACTCTAAATAAAACTGCATAGGGGCACCTGGGTGGCTAAGTTGGTTAAGCATCCCGACTCTTGGTTTCGGCTCAGGTCATGATCTCATGGTTTCAGGAGTTTGAGCCTCGTGTTGAGCTCTGTGGTCATAGTGTGGAGCCCACTTGGGATTTCCTCTCTCTCTCTCTGTCTCCCCCCACCCCACCTTTTCTTCTCATGCTGTCTCTGTCTCTGCCTCTCTCAAAATAAATAAATAAACTTAAAAAAAACCCACTATATAACCACTGTACTTTACTACTCAGTGATCCCAAGTCCACCTCTGAGAGGTCAGAAAGCAGGATTTGGTCACTGCTGGGGGACAGTAGAAGTGAGCGCTGGCTAGGTGTTACAGGAAGGCTAATCATTATCAAAAATGTGACATAAGCAGGAGAGAGAATTATGCATCCCCTAGAGCAAGGTTTCTCAACCTTGGCACTGTGCACATTTCGAGTCAGATCGTTCGTGGCCCTGAGAGACCATCCTCTGCATTGTAGGATATTTAGCAGCATCCCTGGCCTCACTCACTAGATGTCAGTAGCAACTCCCACCCTTGAGTTTTGACAACAAAAAATGTCTCCAGACATTGCCAAATATCCCCTGGGAGGGAAATCATTCTTGGTTGAAAACTATGGCTCCGTTGTGATAAAGCCAGCACGACTGACCAGTTGTTTTCTTGATGAGTTCCAGAAGAAAGATCTTTCGGAAAAGTTCAACCTTGTCACCTGGGAAGGGAAGTCCAAGAGGATTCTGCATTTTCTGGTTAGGAATGCAATGTGAGACAGACCGGCAGTTGGTGGTCAGCTGTTCTGGGATGATGGTCCAGCTCGTGGTCCCTCTGCCCCTGCACATGGCCTGCATGTGAACTCTGGAGTTCTCACCTGAGCAAGGTCAATCTGCAGCCATAATAGAGGGGCCCAATGCTGCTGTTCTGGAACAAGGGTTTGAGCTGGGGATGAAAGACATGGAAGTAAGAGGATGGGCTGAGGGGCTGGGAAGGACAAAAGTAGGCACTGGAGGGCACGCATTGGAGGGGCTCTCACCAGACGATTCAAGATCCTCTCTACAGAGTTGAATAGCTCAGATCCTGGGGGCCCCATGCCCTCTGTGTAGCGCAGGTTGGTGATGGTGAAGTTGAGGGTGAAGGGCACCAGAGACAGGCTCACACCTGCAGCCAGAAAGGGCGAGAGGGGCTCCATTATGATTCTCTGGTGGGGATGGCTGTAGGTGGCAGATCCAAGGGTGGCCACCGTATCTGTGTCACCCTTGCATCCAGCCACACTTGGCCTCCAACCTGGACGGATTATTTTAGCTGGAAAAAGAACCTCAACTCTTCAGCCCAGTGTGTCTAAAGAAAAACAGTTGGTGGACATTTGGGTAGGAGGAAAAGAAGCAAAATCACTCTGTTGCCCCCTGGGGTGGAGGTCTCCCATTGTCTTCTGACGTCACCACGAGAGAACTTGCAACCGCTGAGTGGGCCTGTCTATTCCCCCTGAGAGTGACTCCTGTCTCAGTTTCACTAAACCGTCTTTGAAGAGTGGATTTTACATGGACTGACCACATCTCCTATTTTTCCCTGAACAGTCATGTGGCTTGCATGTAAATATTAATTAGAACCCTCCCTCTCTTTGTCAAAAGTGTCCCATAAGACAAACACAAACGCAAACACAAAAACACTGTATGGTCATCCTGGGGTTAGGGTGTGAAGAATCGAATGCCAGAGGTCTGAACTGGGTGACAGTACCCTTTACAGATTTCATCTGAGGAGCACCAACTGGGGGCCAGTCTTTGTACTGGGCATTTCATTTCTGGCATCTCAGCTTACCCTGACCACAGTCCTCAGAGTCAAGTATTACCAGTTCCATTTTACAGTCTGGGAAACTGAGGCTCAGAGAAAGTAAATTTTGCCCAAGTCCCATAAATGAACAGCACAGCTACAATACCTTTTTTTTTAATTAAAAAAAATTTTTTAATGTTTATTATTTTTGAGAGAGACAGAGACAGAGAGCAAACAGGGAAGGGGCAGAGAGAAGGAGACACAATATCCGAAGCAGGCTCCAGGCTCTGAGCTGTCAGCACAGAGCCCGACGCGGGGCTCGAATTCACAGACTGCGAGATCATGACCTGAGCTGTAGTCGGCTGCCTAACCGACTGAGCCACCCAGGCGCCCCTACAATACCTTTTTAACTCAAAAGTAGATATCTTTCTGTTTGTACAGCCATGCTTATAGCAGCATTATTCACAATAGGTGAATATTATTCACAGAATATTAGAATTTTATGCTGACAGCTCAGAGCCTGCAGCCTGCTTCAGATTCTGTGTCTCCTTCTCTCTCTGCTCCTCCCCCACTCACACTCTGTCTCTCTCTCTCAAAAATAAATAAAAATGTTTAAAAAAACTGAAAAAAAATGACATCTTGCCATTTGCAACAACATGGATGGAGCTAGAGTATATCATGCTAAGCAAAATAAGTCAGAGAAAGACAAATACCATATGATTTCACTCATACGTACCATTTAAGAAACAACACAAATGAGTGAAAGGGAAAAAAAGAGAGAGAGAGAGAGAGAGAGAGAGAGACCAGGCAGGAACAGACTCTTAACTATAGAGAACAGACTGATGGCTGGCAGAGGGGAGGTGGGCGGGGAGATGGGTTAAATGGGTGATGGGGATTAGCGAGGGCATTTGCTGAGATGAGCTCCGGGTGTTGTACGAAGTGCCGAATCACTAAATTGTACACCTGAAAGTACTCCCACACTGTATGTTAACTGGAATCCAAATAAACAACAAAAAGAAAAGAAAACCTGCAGTAGACGAAGCTACAGTAATCAAGACAGTGAGGTACTGCATTAGGACGGACAGGTAGATCAATGGGATGTCATTGAAAGTCTAGAAGCAAAGCCTCACATTTATGGTGAATTGATTTTCAACCAGGGAGCCTGTATAATTTAATGGAGAAAGGAAATTTTTTAAATAAATGGTACTGGCATAACTGGGGAAAAAAAGCAATCAGAGCTAAAACTTGCCCCAATTTCTTGAAAACATACATTTTCAGATTCAGGACGCTTCAAAAATCCCCAATAGTATAAACTCAAAGAAAAACCATGTTCCGATACATCATTATCAAACTTCTGGATACCAAAGATGAAGAAGAAATCTTGAATGCATCTACAGAAAAAATGACATCATCAGTCATGGAATGACTTGGTCTGTAGCACATGCCAGGCTTGTAGGAGCTAAGCCTGTTACAGAAATGGTTGAGTTGATCAAGGTGAACAGTAGGGACTGGAGAATGCACATTCTGTCTAAAGCTTGAGAAAAGTTTGCAGTGTCTCGACTCATAAAACCCAGAATTCCAGAAGACAGAATTCAAATTACAACTCACCGGCTTGTATCCCATAACTCTAGATGCACACGGCAGGATTAAAGGTCGGGGATGCCCTGTCTTGGTCATGACATAAGTGTGAAAACTACCTATAGACTCAAATTTTAAAATAAATCTTAAGGGTCGGAGTAAGACAAGTTTCCCGACATAAATCAAGCCCTTGTTTCAGGTTCCTGGAGACTCAAGAGCCCTTAGACCCACATCTGGGTCAGATGAGGAGACAGAGCAAGAATCGAGTCCAGGACTAAGATCCTGAATGATTTTCTGGACGTTCAAATAAAATCCACAAATGTGGACATACGCAAGATTGCTACATTCATTCATCCAACCAGTCAATCAGTATAAAGTGAGTGCAGACTAGGTGCTCAGCTCCAAGGTGACAAATACATAAATACTGAATAAAGCAAATAGCAGTAGATTCCATCAGAAAATACTCATGGTTGTGGATAGTGAAAACCTGTGGTCCAGGTGTGTATTCAGATGTGCTACTTCCTATAAGAGGGTCTAGGAAGGTCTTTCAAAGAAGGTGAGATTGAGCTGGGATCTGAAAAGCAATGAGGTGCCAGGTGTAGTGGATCTCCAGGAAGAGCTGATATAAAGTCCAGAGGTTAGGACACTAGAGAACAGACAGTGTCTGATGTGGCCAAAGTTTGGAGAGTGAGGGAGGGAGTGAGTAGGACATTCTGAGGGTGGGTGGTCCACAGGAACCAGACTGTGTGGAGTTGAAGTTTTATGGGTCCCAGAGAGTAGGCTCCTACCTGTAGAGCTGAGGATGGGGGGCTGAGATGTGGAAGATTCTGGAGAGAATGTAGAAGTCACTGGAGCTGAGAAAAAAAAGAACAGGGGAAAAATTATAAAGTCCCATCCTGAATGAATGGGGGACTAAAGATATTCATTAGAATTTGGTCTTCTGTCTTGACTCAGAGCGAGACCCTGGGTGGGTTAGGGGCTCTTCTGAGTCTGTAGCTAGACGCTTAGGGCAGGAGAATTGGCAGCTTGTCTCCAGAAGAATGTGTTTTGGGGAATAAGGGTCCAGTGGGCATTGAAATTTCGGTCTTGAATACTCACTGCTGGTGGTAGGGTTCCAGTACCGGTGGTTATAACCTGCAGAAAGGAGTAAAGGACTGTTACAATGGGTAAGAGCTAAGGAAGGGGTAGACAGTAGACCCAGAGATGAACTTCATTAGCAAACTTGCTGTGATTTATAAATGAACAATAATGGCTCCTACATTTCATTCAGTGCCCTCATGTGGCTTATCCCTTGAAAATGGTGATGAACATCGTTCCCATTATTATTGCCAAAATAAAAATACAATAATAATAACTGCCCCTGTTTATTGGGAATGTACTATGCACCAGAAATAATACTAAACAGTACATTACAAGGTAATGTAATTACAAACAAGAGTGTTCCAAGGCTTATCCACAACTTTATCCTTGCTCTCTCAGCTTCTCTCCCTTCACAAAATTTTATGATAGTACGACTTTATCTTTCTAGCTTAGTTTCTGGGGGTGGGGGGGTTTGGTGGTGTTTAAGTGACAAAATTGTGGCCATTAGAGAGAGCGGTCTATGGAAGCAAGATGGAGGAGAGGGAATGTACATGTGGTTTGGAATATTAGAGAAACTTTGGGAATGGGCTAGGATAATGAACGTGAGAAGAGACTTGGAGGTCAGATGGATGGCATAAAAATTGGAGTCTGAAAGGAATTGGGGAGAAGAGAATTTTTCATCAGTGTTTCTCTGGGTCATGATCATCTCCTTGGATGTTCTGTGAGGGGTGGGAGTCATTTTGGACCCAGAGGAGCCCCATGATTTACTTGGGTTATTCCTGTGAACTATCTCATTTGACCATCAGGAAAATCCTGCATGGTATATATGTTTATTCCATTCTGTAAGTGGGACATTAAAGCCCAGACGGGTTGCATGGCTTGCCCAGCATCACATAAAACAGAGATCTGTCCCTTGCCAATCACTGTCAACCACTGTTTTAAGGAAATATCCAAGCTTATATAGAGGGGACATAACTAACCAAGCATTAGGTTAGATTGTTAGGCTAGAGATCAGTTATGCCCCTTCCTATCCTGAGATTTGAGGCTTTCTCTATCTGGATGGTCTGTGGTGTTGTCTTGTAGTTAGGAACTTGGAGTTTAGATTCAATCTCCAGTTTGTTTGAGTCTTGACCCTGTCAGGCATGATGGCTGGATTATCTTGGGGAAATGACTTCCTGTCTGAAAGCATGATGGCTGTCTCCATAAAAATGACTGTAACAACTCACAGGGTTTTGAGTAAGATCAATGTGAGATAATACCTATAAAAGACTTTATCACAATTCCTGGCACATAAGAACCTTTTGATAAGAGTTAGCCGCAATTGTACTTATTATTCTCAGCATTAGCATTGCTGTTAGGGGCATTGTTGCTAACGGTGTTGTGTAAGTAGATATTATTCATGGACTATTTGCTAAGTGTGATGTTATCTCATGAAGACTGTGTCATACTGACTGGTCTGTGGGCACTTAGTAAATTGGTCATCATTGTGAGAGAATGAAATGGGGTGAAGGCTGAAATGGTCACCTGCTGCCCATTTGGAAAATTTAACCACACAGTTCTTTATCACCCACTTCTTTTCCTAGAGTCTGCATGTTGGTCTCTTATGGGAAGCAGTGAAAATGAGGAAGAAAAAATGTTATTCCAGGAGGTGAAAAGGGAAAGGAAATCAGCTTCCCATGATGCATTAGGCATTCAAAAATGAGTCTCCAAGGAAATGCTAGGTTTGCATTGGAACCATCAATTTGTATACAGCAATTTCTCAAACTCAGCATTATTGACATTTTGGTCTAGATAACTCTTCATGGTGGAGGGCTGCTCTGTGCACTGTAGGATGTTTAGCAGCACCCTGGCCTCTACCTACTAGATGTCATTAGTACCGCTCCAGGTATGATGTGAAATATCTCCAGACATGCCAAATGTCCCATGGAGAGCAGAATCGCCCCAGTTGAGGAGCACTGGTAGAGAGAAACATGGGGGTGGGAGATCCCAACTACAGCACAGACACTCACCATTGACATAGAGACTGTCTCTGTCCAGGGTGTAGGTGCCCAGCCAGGTGACACCGCGGGTCAGCTGACTCAGCTCCTGGTACAATTCTTCTCTGTTCAGCCCAGGGCCCATGGGGTCAGGATGATAAGTGCAGATCACGTCCACTCCTGTTGCTGTTCCACCCTTCTCAGTCCTAGGGCGGTAGGGACGTAGGAATAGGGACATCCTGAGATGTGGAAGAGTTACATACTTTGTTCACCTCTTGCCTTCAGCCTGCCCCACCCCCAGCCTTGGCCTTATGACATTTCTCTTTACCGGGTCTTGTCTGGTTTCTCACACACATTCTTTTCTGGGACCTTCTCATCCAGGTATCTTCCTACTCCTTAAAGTGGTTAATCTCCAAGGCTTCATCCTCAGCCAACTTCTATTCTTTTGGACTCATTCTTCTTGAGTCATATGGTTCATACTCATTGGTTCAGCTATCAGCTTTATTCTCATGGGATCCAATCTTACTCTCTGGCCAAGACCCCTCTCCTGAGCTCTGTGCCATGTCACCAACAGCCCCAAGGATGTCCTTCAGACTTATTATATTCCATTTGTCCCAGATTAAGTTTATTAATTCCCCCTAAAGACACAGAGTCTCCTCCTTCTGCCATGTTTCCATATTGGGGCCAGAACCAAACATGTGGGAGGCATCCTGGACCTCCCCTGTCCTTGGTCCCCCCATCCAAGCAACATCTAGGTGAGCCCAACATCTCACTGATTTCCCCACCTCCTGTCCCATTATCACATCAAATTTTCCCATACCCATATCTACCTGTGTACTACTTAAAATAAATGACATTACAGCAAGGTTCTTCTTAAAACTCCATGAATCCCTGCCTGATCTGAGATATGCCAACCCTTGAAATACTTCTGCCAAAATGTCTTCTGGCAATTCTTTTGGCTAATGCTCATTCAGCTCAGGCATCACCTTCTCCAGACTGCTTCCACTCAACTCCCCCACATTCAGCTAAAATTCCATCTTCCAGGCTCCTATGGCTTCCATGTAGTGCTTTATCATTGTACTAATCCTGTTACTATTATGTTTAAGTTCATATGGCTGCCCTCCTCTCCATACTGTGGGTACCTTGAGGGAAGAGTCCATGACTCAATCTCTAGGTGCCCTTAGCACCTGTCACAGGGCATGGCCTGAGGTACCTCATTTCATTTCTGACCAGTCAGTGTGAATGCTCCATGGCTCTTCTTATCCAAGTAACTTAAGACCTTTATTGGACAGCCACCTCTTTCAGGAAGTCCTCTCCGATACACTCAGCCAGAGGGGATGCCTTCCATCTGAATTCTTGGAATTCCATTCGAAGCCATTTATGCGTCTTCTAGTTGCCATGTTTAGGTCCTCACCGCCAGGTGAACTTGCCTGTAACCGTTGTGAGGGAGGGGAGTCTCACCTGAGCAAGGTCAGTCTGCAGCCAGAGTACCGTGAGCCAATACTGGTGTTCTTGAACAAGGGACCAAGCTGGGGAGGAAGGAGAGAGAGGTGAGCATGAGGGGCTGAGGTCACTGGGTGGGGTAAGGACAAGGCAGGCCAGGGGAGGCATTGTGGGGCTCTTACCAGGCGATTCAGGGCCCTCTCAGTGGAGTTGAACTTCATGGAGCCTGGGTGCCTCATGTCTGGGGTGCAGAGCAGGTTGGTGATGGTGAAGTTGAGGGTGAATGGCACCAGGGCTGGGCCCACAACTGCAGCCGGAGGGAAGGAGAGAGAGGAGACCCATCACAGTTATAGGCCTGAGCTATACATTAGGGGGAAGGGACTAGTGCCATCTCTGTCCATAGTATCCCGTAGGTGAGGCCTGAGATATCCCATCTGGGATACCTCCCTCCTCGGCCAGCCAAGGGAGGACCTCCATGTTAGATGTGTCCTGTCAGCTCAAAAGGAAACCTCAATCTTCTCATCCCAGAGTGTCCCCAAAGGCTGACCTGTCACAGACATTTTGGTGGAAAGAGGAGGCACCAAGACCTTTTGTGCTCAGATCATGGGCCACAAATTTCTTGAGAAGTCAAGAAAGCCAAACGGTAGTAATTTCCATGAAGGAAACGATCATAGAGATAGAGATTAGATCCCACCTGTGTGTGGGATATGGGGACATGATGCTACTTTATAGGAGGAAGTCTGAGCAAAAGCCAGCTGAGCTGAATCTGGAGGACAACGGGAAATCAGGAACAGAGCTGAGTCCCCATTACATAAGAGCAAAGGCGCTGAGGATGGGAGGATGTTTGGTCCCTGAAACAGAAACAAGGCTGGTATGGCCAGAGATGGGGGAGCACAGGAGACAGGCTGGAGATCAGCCAGAATGGGAGTTGAAGTTTCATGGGACTCAGAGATCAGACTCCTACCTGTAGAGCTGGGGGTGGGGGGCAGAGATATTGACGGTCCTGGAGAAAATGTGGAGGTCACCAGAGCTGAAAGAAAACACAACATCAACATAAATCATGAAGCAGTAAGAGGACAGGGCTGTTGATGGGAACTTGTGTCTCTAATTGGTGGTCTGGAGCTTGAGAATCTGGGAGTGGGATACGTGGGTACTCTCCCTTGGGAATGGGTGCAGGGAAGAAGTGTCCCAGGGACGCAGGGACATCTGGGCCCTTGTGACTTACTGCTGGTGGTGGGGGTCCAGTACTGATGGTTATAACCTGCAGAGAGAGCCAGAGAGGAAGAGGAAGTCAATGGGAGGAGGTGGAGAAAAGGGTGAGGGGTAGGACTTGAAACATGGACACAGACCCTTCTCCAGTGCTTTCTCTGAGACTCATCAAAGATAATGATGGCTGCTCTTTATGAGTTAACTGCCTGGTACTCCAATGCTCAGGACTGTTTCATCCTCTGTATCATTAACCACAAAGACCACAATAATCAAAATACCCCCCACCTTGTTGGGGGTTCATGAGGTGCCCGAAGCAACAGCAACCTCATCAGATGAGTCATAGGAACAACAGCTTTATGTGTTTCCAGCCTTATGTGTGTTTTCTCCACCAATTAAATATAACTTTGTCCTTGATCTCTGAGTTTTTCCTACTTCTCCGGTTTTCAGAAACAGCTTGATTTTTGACACAGTTCCTGGATTTCTGTAATGTTGAACGAGGGAGAGAGTGAGATAGACAGACAGACTGGGGAGTCAACCAGAAAGCATCAAGTTGGAGAATAAGAGGGAGTGGGGAAAAGAGGGTTTGAATAAGTATGGTTCTGGGTCATAGACTGGATCCTCTCTGAGGCTTGGTAAGCAATGCAAGTAAAACTTAGACTTATTTTATATCTGATGGTCTGACTAGGTTTCTTGAAATGAAACTCTTCTCTGAGACTAGACCCAGTAGAGGGAGCCCTGTGCTTTACCTGCATTACTCAGGTGTTATCCCAGTTGACCTTTACAATAAGCTTAGGTGAGGGTTTTAAAAATTCCATGCTAAGAACAGACACTTCAGGGCCATAGGGGGAGCAAAAAAACAGGACCAGCACTTAAAGAAAGACCTGTAAATCACCCAAACCCACACTGTCAACTACAACTTTAAGTAACTCTCAAAGACTATTGAAATACAATACAGATTTTAATCCAGATAGAAAGAAAATGTCAAAGGCAATCCATAGGGGACATGATTGAGCTTTAGTTTAAATTGTTGTGTTATAGGCTCCTTGATATGCCTTCCCATCCTGAGATTTGAGGCTTGTTCTAGCTGGGTTAGTCTGCAGTGTAGCCTTGTAGTTGGGGTCCCTTCTGGGGGCCTTAGAGCCAATTTAGTGTTTGCGTCATGATGTTACCATTTATATAAGGTTTCTGATCTTGGGATAAATAGATGTCCTTCCTTGATCCTTGTTTGCTCCTCTGTAAAATGTACATAATGCCTCACAGAGTGCTGGACAGGATTAGTAAGACACAATATACACAATGTTCCAGATCACAGGCATCCCTCAATAAATATTAGCCTTTAGTGCAGGCGTTACTGTGGGTTTTGTTGCTAAGAACGTTGATGCAGAGGGATTTATTGCTAAAAACATTGCTAACAGCTTTATTGTTTGCTTCTCAGGTGGGTTGTAGTTCTGCCTGGCCCCTGGAGGATGAGTAAAGGGCCACAAGCTGTTATAACAAAGAGAAAAAAGTGGATCAGTCCCCACTTTGGAAACTCGTTGCCTGTTGGGGAGGAGTTAACGTCAGCAGCCACTGCGGGCTTGCTTTGTCCTCTTCCTTCTCTGACGTTGGGTTTCTGTGAAAGGTCACTGCAATGAGAGACTATGGAGAGAGCCTTTATTTCCAGACCTTGGAAGTTGTTCTGTGAGCATAAGGTGTTGTAAGTTTGAATCACTATACTGTACATCTGAAACGAATGTAACACTATAATGTTAACTAACTGGAATTAAAATAAAAACTTAAATTAGGAGCACCTGGGTGGCTCAGTTGGCTAAGCATCCGACTTTGGCTCAGGTCATGATCTCGTGGTTCCTGGGTTCGAGCCCCGCGTCAGGCTCTGTGCTGACAGCTCAGAGCCTGGACCCTGCTTCGGATTCTGTGTTTCCCTCTCTCTCCATCCCTCCCCTGATCATACTCGGTCTCTCCCTCTCAAAAATAAATAAACTTAAAAAAAATTTTTTAATAAAAACTTAAATTAAAAACATAAAAACAAATAATAGTAGGACTTAGAGAAGAATTAAATGAACATGGATGTTCACACTGCTGATATTGGAGAGGCTCCGTTTATGCAACCAGAAGACTGTAGTGGTGACAGGTTTATCAGCATTCACAAGAAAAGCTGTGACAGAAAAGGTGAGAATATCTAAAGGAGGTAGCATCCACAGACAAAAGTTCACATTAATGAAATTTTCAGAGATAAATTACCACACTGAAAGCACACAGGGCAAAATGCTGGAATCTGATGGAAACTTAGAAAGCGATATGACAGTTCACCCTGGTACAGAAAAAGATGTGCTCTGTATTATAAATAATGTGATGAGAAAAAGGCAAATGCAGGTCCTAAGAATTTTCCAAAAGAAAAAAAAAAAACGTTTTGTTCTCAAAGTTTCTGATGTTAAAAAAATTTTTTAATGTTTATTTGCTTTTGAGAGAGAGGGGGGCTGGAGGGGCAGAGAGAGAGGGAGACACAGATCCAAAGGAGGCTCCAGGCTCTGAGCTGTCAGCACAAAGCCTGACACGGGGCTCAAACTCATGAACCGTGAGATCATGACCTGAGCCGAAGTCAGATGCCCAACCGACTGAGCCACCCTGGCGCCCCGAAGTTTCTAATATTTAAAATGACAGGTTATTAAATATTAGTTTTACGGAAAAAAAAAAGAAGAAGAAGAAGAAAGGAGGAAAGGAAAGAAGGAAATAAGGAAGGGAGGGAGGGAGGGAAGAAAGCTCTGTAGGTGTTCTGAGGAAAGAGAATTCCCCCATGGAAATTCTAGGTTGGCCCAGAACTATGAACCTGGGTACTGAGAAATTGCACTGCAAGGAGACCCCATCTGGGACTCGGGAGGAGACCCCAACAGCAGTAGAGGTTCTCACCGTTGACACAGAGACTGTTCCTGTCCAGGGTGTAGGGGCCCAGCTGAGTGATGCCATGGGTCTGCTGGCTTAGCTCCTGGTAGAGCCGCTCTCTGTCCAGCCTGAAGCCGGTGGGATCTGGGCGGTAGGTACAGACTGCATCTATCCTGGTGCTTGTCCCATCCTTCTCAGCCCTGTGGAAGGAAGGGCACGGGAATAGGGACATGCAAAGACACTTGAGAGTTGGCTACTCTTGACAGCTCCTTCCTTCAATTGTACCCCTTGATGTTTATGTTAGCACTCTTCTCTGGGTTTCATCTACTTTCTCAAACACATCTTCTTCTGTCTCATATGGGGACCACCTCACCTTCTGAAATGTACTGTTCTCCAGGGCTGCTCCATACCTAGTCTTCTGCTTTTGCTCCCCAATCTTTTCTTTACTGGTTCATGCTCATTGTTTCAACTACCAGCAGCCAGTACAGTCCCTGTCCACTCAAGAAGGTAAGTACAGGTGACATCCCCTCCAGTAAGAGCTGAGTCCTGCTTGGGCCATGGGATTGGGGGTGTGGAGCTCCCAGGGAGGAAATGAGAATCCTGAACCCAGGCAGCATGACTGAAGACCTTGGAGGACGTGAGTGAGTCACCTCTGTGTCTGGCTGTGACTCTGTCTTAACAGCCATCATGGAGCCTGAAGGGAAGACTTTGTTTCAAGTTGGTGAACCCCAAGGCTGAGGCCAACCCCTTGGGAACACCTTTGGAGCAGACAACCAAATTTTGAGGAAAACAAAAACAGAGAAAATGACATAAGAGGTAATAAGGGGCAATGTGGTTCAAAAATACTTTTGTCCTGAATTTAAGCTGAATCTATAGTGATTCATCTAGACTGGGGGCTTTACAAGAAGAGAGATCCCCTCTCTTCCTTGTCTGGGAGTTCTCGCTATTGCCCACGCTAGTCAAAGCATTCCCATTTTTTTTTTTTTTTTTTTAAATTTTTTTTTTAACGTTTATTTATTTTTTGGGGACAGAGAGAGACAGAGCATGAACGGGGGAGGGGCAGAGAGAGAGGGAGACACAGAATCAGAAACAGGCTCCAGGCTCTGAGCCATCAGCCCAGAGCCCGACGCGGGGCTCGAACTCACGGACCGCGAGATCGTGACCTGGCTGAAGTCGGCCGCTTAACCGACTGCGCCACCCAGGCGCCCCAAAGCATTCCCATTTGATGCTCATTTAGGGTAGGACAGTGGTTCTCAAAGTGTGGCTCAGGGACTCCTGGGCTTCCCAAACTCTTACAGGGAGCCCACCAAGTAAAAATATTTTCGTATTCATACCAAGACGTTATTTTCACTTTTATTCTCTTAGGAGTACACAGTGAAATTTTTTTCCCAGAGGCTATGAGATGAAATATTGTAAAAGATTAAATGCAGAAGCAGAGGAGGGCCTGGCTGGCTTTGTCAGAAGAGTATATGAGTCTTGACCTCAGGGTCATGGGTTCAAGCCCTGTGTTGGGTGTACCAATTACTAAAATAAATAAATAAACTTTAAAAAATGCAGAAGCAGACAGCCTACTGTCTTTTACTAAAACAAGCATCAAAAATATCTACAAAAATGTAAACAATGGTCCTCTCCTTGTTATGCTTTTTTGGGGGGCAAGGGGAGAGGGGAAACATGGCTATTATTCATAAAAATAATGTTATTTGTGTTAACACATAATAGGTTTGTTATTTTAAATAAATGAATGTATTAATATAGTGTTTGTCTTAATTTTGGATCCAGTAAATACGGGCAGATACAACCCCCAAGCCCAAAGGCTCTTTGGAGTTCTGAGTACTTTTAAGGATGTAGGTTGTTGAGCCCAATGACCTTGAACACTGCTGTCTCGTGGTTAAAGGGAGAGACTCAAGAACTGGAGCCTCTGGGTTCAAATCCTGGCTCCTCTCAAGTACTTGACTACTCTGAGCCTCAGTGTTCTCTTCTGCAATGTGGGATAATAATCGTGTTGTAAAGATGAGATGAACGAAAACATGTACCTCACGTAGATTCTCGGTGGCATGTTGTATGGGCAATATCATCTTATTGATGCCCCCATCTCATGGGGAGATGGGGGCAGGTGTGGTGGGTGGAGCTCATTTAGGATGGCTTTAGTCTATAACACTTGGTTGTAGGAGCACAGAGAGGTTATGCAATTTGCCCAAGGTCACACAGTTAACAAGTGAGAGATCAAGGGTTCAAACCTAGAAACTTTGGATTCACTATGATATACTGTCTCTTGGCAAAGGCCCAAGGCTGTGGTTGACTGAGACGTGAAGGACCAAGAAGGGAGAGAATCGGGGTATCTGTAGGTGCTTTGGAAGAAGACTCACCTGAACAAGGTCAGCCTGCAGCCATCATAGAGGGAACCAACACTGCTGTTTTCGAACAGAGTCCTGAGCTGGGAACAAATGAGAGGGTGATGAGCCGGAGGGGCCAAGATGGCAGGGTGTGGAGGGCTTGGGATGAGATGAGCATTGGTGGGGGGCTCTCACCAGGTGCTGCAGGTGTCTCTCAGTGGCATTGAATATCTCAGAGCCCGAGTTCCCCATGTCCTCGGTGTAGTGCAGGCTGGTGATGGTGAAGTTGACAGTAAAAGGCATCAAGAAAGGGGCTGCAGCTGTGGTGGTGGAGAGAGTAAAATGAGGTCAGTCCCGAGTCAGGCCTGGGCTGGGGGTGGGAGGTGAGGCTCTGAGGACACACCTTAACTCCAGCACCTAGCCGGGGCTTGGCCTGAGCTGTCCTTTTTGAGAACACATCATGTCACCATTTAAGACCCTCCCACATAGGGTGACCAACCATCCCAGTTTTTCCAGGACCATCTGGGTTCCTGGGATGCTGACTTCCAGCTGGAAAAGTGATATAGACTTGGGAAAACCAAGCTGGTCACCCTCCTGCCACTTCCCCTTGGCTCTTACCGTTTCAGCATGCGATAGCACCTGTATCTCTTTGTTGCAGGGGAATGAACAGGCCCCAGGGAGCATCCTGCTAGCAATGATTGATGGGGGTTGGCGGATACATATCCCAGCTCCCTAACCCGCTCCCCAGAGAGGAGGACTCCAAAGTTCACATTCTATGCATTCTCCTGGGGTTCCCCTCCAGCCTCCAGACCTGATAAATTTCTACCATTCGAGGCAGCTGGTGTGTGATACCTCACTGCTATTGCTCTAACGAACTAGCACACCACACGACCATACTCCAAAGAACTGGAAACGGACTCAAACAGATCTGTGCATACCCACGTGCATAGTTGCACTATCCACGGTAGCCAAAAGGTAGAAACAGCATGAGTGTCCATCAATACACGAATGGACAGATAAAATGTGGTCCATCCATACAATGGAATGTCATCCATCCATAAACAGGAATGAGGTTCTGATGCACACTGCAACATGGATGAACCATGAAGACACTGTGCTCAGTGAAATAAGTCAGACACAAAAAATCAAATACACTGTGTGATTCCACATACATGAGATATCTAAAGTAGGCTAATTCAAGAAGACAGAAGTGGATTAGAGTTACCAGGGGCTGAGGGGAGTGGGGGAAGAAAGCTAATGCTAATGGGGACACAGATCCCATTGGGAGTGATCAAAGGTTTTGGAAAAAGGACAATATTCATATAATACTGCGAATGAAATTAATGCCACTGAATTATGCATCTAAAATGGTTAAAATAGCCAGTTCTATATTATATACACATTTTTACCACCGTAAAAAAAAAAAGTCATTCTTACTTGTTTCTGAAGTCACACTCAGAGAGGTCAAGGTGGACATCCCAGCTGAGGTCTCAGGGACAAAGGGACTTGCCACAGATGTATTGAAGGTGGCTGCAGTCTCCACCATGATGTGGCCTGAGCCTGTGGCAGCTAAATTAGTGGTCTCAGGAGTTGTGGTTTTCAGGATAGCAGTTGGACTCGATCCGTCTCTGTGACTGGTTTTAGGTGGTGTTGGGGTCTCTGATGCTATCAAGGTCACAGTGTCCCCTGTCACAGTCTTGGACAATTCCAGGAGTTCAATTGAGGTCACAGATGGTGAGGGTTCTGTGCTCCAGGAAGTTAAGGTATGAGACTCACCAGTGGTTTCAGGGGTACTGACAGGCCCAAGAACACCAGCAGTCAAAGTTGGGCCACCTGTGCTGGCCTCTGATGCAGCACTGGTGGCCAATAAGCCTGTAGTCTTCAATAACACAGGGGAAAGAGTTGACGTTGAAATAGTTGTGATATCTGTGCCAAGATGGGTGGAGAGTGAGGCTGTTTCTACAGGAACACCAGGTGAGACTGTTGGACCCAGATCAACTCTGCTGGTCTCCGTCATGGATGTGGTGAAGGATGTTGTCTCTGGTAGACCGAGGGAAACAGTCCGAACTGGAGGAGCTGTACTCATCTCCAGCTCAGGTTGGACAGAGAGTGAGGCTATGGTCTCTGGTAAATGAGGAAAAGCAGTTGAACCAGGAAAATATGTACTTGTCTTTGCACTGGGGTGGGTGACCAATAAGCCTGTGGTTGCTGGTTCACCAGGAGAAAGAGTCAGACTTGGAATAGTCATATTGGCATCTGTCTCAGAAGTAGGAACGTGAGAGGTCACCATATCTGGTGCACCAAGAGAGACAGTTGGAGTTGGAACCACTGAACTGGTTTCTTCCCCACGGCTGGTGGCTATTGACTGTGTGGTGTCTGGTTCACCTTTGGAAAAAACTGGAGTTGTTTTGGGGACAGTTGGGCTAGTTTCTTCAGAATGAGTGACTGATGAGACTGTTGTATTTGTCTCCTTAGGAGAAATAGTCAGAGTTGGAACAGCTGAACTGGTTTCTGTCCCAGAATGGGTGACCCATGAGGCTGTCATCTCTGCCTTTTGTGGGGAATCAGTCAGAGTTGTAAACATTGTACTGGCTTCCACCCCAGAACTGGTGACCAGTGAGGTCACCAGCTCTGGCACAGTAGAGGAAACAGGTGGAGCTGGAATGGCTGAGCTGGTCTGGATCTCAGAATAAATGATTGTTGAGGCTGTGGTCCCTGGCTCACCAGGAGAAAGATTGAGAGTGGGAATGACTGTACTGGCATCTTTCTCAGAACTAGTGACCTGTGAGGTCACCATATCTGGTACACCAGGGGGGGCAGTTGGAGTTGGAACAGCTGAACTGGCTTCTGCCCCATGGCTGGTGGCCATTGTGTATGTGGTATACAATTCACTATGGGAGACATTGGGAGTTGTCCTGGAAACTGTTGGGCTGGTCTCTGCAGGATGGGTGACCAATGAGACTACTGTATCTGGCTCCCCAGGGGAAGCAGGCAGAGTTGGAACAGCTGAACTGAACTCTGTCTCAGAATGGGTGACCCATGAGCCTGTGGTCTCCATTTGACCTGGAGAAAGAGTCAGAGTTGTAAAAGTTGTACTTGTCTCTGGCCCAGAACTTGTGGCTAGTGAGATTTCTACCTCTGGTACGCCAGGGGAGATGGTCAGAGTTGGAATGGCTGAACTTGTCTGTGCCCCAGAACTGGTAGCTATTGAATGTACGGTATCTGATTCACTGTAAGAAAAATTGGGTGTTGCCTTGGGAATAGTTGAGCTGGTCTCTGCAGGATGGGTGACCAATGAGACTGCTGTATCTGGCTCCTCAGGGTAAGAAGTAGGCAGAGTTGGAATAGCTGAACTGGCTTCTTTCTCTGAAAAGGTGACCCATGAGGCTGTGGCCTCCAGTTCATGCAGAGAATCAGCCAGAGTTGAAAAAGTTGTACTCGTCTCTACCCCAGAACTGGTAACCACTAAGGTCACTAACCCTGGTATGCCTGGTGAGATAGTTGTAGCTGAAAATGAACTGACTTCTGCCCCGGGAGTGGTGGCTGTTGAGAGTGTGGTACCTGATTCACTATGGGAGAAATTTGGAGTTATTCTGGAAACAGGTGTGCTGGTCTCTGAGGAATGGGTAACCCGTAAGGCTGTCTCTGATTCATGTGGGTAATCAGTCAGAGTTGGAAAAATCGTACTGGTCTCTGCCTCAGAATTAGTGACCAGTGAGGTCCCCACTCCTGATACACCAGGGGAGACAGTCAGAGTTGGGATGGAAGAACTGGTCTGTGCTCCAGGATGATTAACCCATGAGACTGTGTTCGCTGGTTCTCCAGGAGAAAGAGTCAGAGTTGAAATAACCATACTGGCATCTGTCCCAGAGCTAGTGGCCTGTGAGGTCACCATATCTGGTATGTCAGGGGAGATAGGTGTAGTTGGAACAGCTGAACTGGCTTCTGTCTCAAGGCTGGTGGCTGTTGAGGGTTTGCTATATGATTCACTATGGGAAGCACTGGGGGTTGTCCTGGGAACCGTTGGGTTGGACACTGCAGGATGGGTGACCAAGGAGACTGTTGTGTCTGATCCATACAGGGATTCAGTCAGAGTAGAAGAGGTTGTACTGGTGTCTGTCCCAGAACTAGTGGTCTGGGAGGTCACTGTAGCTGGCACACCAGACGAGACAGTCACTGTTGGAATGGCTGAACTGGCTTCTACCCTAGGAGTGGTGGCCATTGAGAGTATGGTGTCTAATTCACTTTGGGAAAAATTTGGAGTTATTCTGGGAACAGGTGTGCTATTCTCTGTGGAATGAACCCACAAGGCTGTTGCATCTGGCTCACCAGGGGAAACAGTTGAAGTTGCAACAGTGGAAATGGCTTCTGTCCCAGGAGGGGTGACCCATGAGGCTGTTGTCTCTGGTTCATGTGGAGAATCAGTCAGAGTTATAAAAGTTGTATTGGTCTCTGCTCCAGAACTGGTAACTGGTGAGATTCCCACCCCTGATACACCAGGGGAAATGGCTGGAGTTGGAATGGCTGAACTGGTCTGTGCCCCAGGATGGGTAACCAATGAGGCTGCTGCATTTGGCTCACCAGGGGAAGTAGTCGCAGTTTGATCAGTTGGGCTGGTCTCTGCTCCAGAATTAGTATCCATTGAGGTCACCAGCCCTGGCTTACCAGGAAGGACACTTGGAACTGGAATAGATGAACCGCTCAGTGCCCCAGGTTGGGTGACCCATGAGGTGTTGGTCTCTGGTTCATCTTGGGAGTCAGTCAGAGTTGAAATAACTGTGCTCATCTCTGCCCCAGGACTAGTTACCAGTGAGGTCACCATTTCTGGTACACCAGGAAAGACAGTCAGAGTTGGAACTGCTAAACTGACTTTTTCCCCAGAACCAGTAGCTGTTGGGGGTGTGCTATCTGATTCGCTGTGGGAAACACTCAAGGTTGCCCTGGAACCAGTCAAGCTGGTCTCTGCAGAATGAAAGGCTCGTGAGGTTGTGGTCTCTGGCTCACCAAGGGAAACAGCCAGAGTTGGAGAAGCTGGACCGTTCTCTGCATCAGAACTAGGGACCAGTGAGGGTGTAGTCTGTGAGCCTCTACTGAAAACAGACGGGGTTGTCCTGGGAACTTCTGTGCTGGTCTCTGCCCCAGGTATGGTGGCCAATGAGGCGGTCATCTGTAGAACATCAGAAGAAATATCTGGGGTTGAAATGATCGTTCCTCTTGTGCTTGTGCTGGTCACCTTGCCTGATGTCCTGAGGAGAGTCCATGTTCCCGAAGCGGGGGTAGAGACAGTAGTGGTCAGAGTTGCTGTAGAGGTGGTCTTCAGAGCTGTGGTCTCTGCTCTCTCCATCCAGTCTGTTGGTAGTCCTGTGAATTGGGGGATGGACACATAGTTTGCACAAAATAATTGCCGCTTACTGGACTGGCACTAGCTACTTTTTTCTCCACACGAGGAAACGGAGAGAAATGTCTCTGCCTGGGGTATATGCTTCTGGAACGGGAGAAGGAATTGTCAGAGGCATCCCCGTACCTTCCCTTTCTCGTGTGGCACTGTAACTCCATGAATTCTTAACCACTCCTTGTTCCCAAACATTTTCTGTACTCTCCGGCCCCTGAGCCTTTTCTTAAGGCTGTTTCTCTTGTCTGCCTCATCCATCGTTCATCAGATTCCTTACGTTCTGCCCTTCTTCAAACCCTAGCATGAACCTACCTTTACAAATCCATGTCAGAATTCATCTTTCCCTTCTCGATATTTCCTTATCCTAATGTCTGAATCGACACAGTGGCACTCCTCACGGTCGGCTTGGTAAGAGCTATTCGTAGCCAGAAGACTGCTTGGCATACAGTAGGTGCCCACAAATATTTGCTGAATAAATGAGCGAGTGAATGAACGGATACATAGATGGAGGTATGCAAAGAGAGATGTCTTCTCTGGCTTGAGAGAGATCAGGTATCATTGTGCTCAAGAGCTTGGGCTCCGTTAGAAGGTGGTCCTGCACTCAGATTCCGACTCCCCCACTAAATGGATGTGTTACCAAACCTTGCTGGACTTCCATATTCTCATCTGTAAAGTAGGTATAAGTACAGTGGCCATCTCAGAATGCTGATAAAAATTCACCCAGCACGGTGCCTGGTTCAAATACTGCTAGTACCTGCTATCACTGCTGTTAACTTCTATTACCACCTATTACCATGGTTATTATTACCATTACTTCGGCTACTATTACCTCCTATCACTGGGGTTATTACTGCTATTTTTACTACTTTTTGTGTTTCCACTACAAAATAAATGTTTGCTGAGTCGGAATTTGCCAGGAACCATGCTAGACCAAAGCTGGCCAAGGTGACTGGAATTCAGATTCTGATGACGAGTAAAGTTGCATTGGCCGAGACAGCAGCTACTGACTGGGGCCTCAAAAAATGGTCCGAGGGAAGGATGGAGGACCATTGGGAGGCTTCTCCAGAAAGACCACAAAGCCCATTGACTTGGTCCAGGAACAAAATAAAAGGGATTTGGACTCTGATGGGGAGCCATGTCCCTCTTTTACTAAGACCATCTAAAAAAACCCCCACATTTCTGGGAGTGGATATTCTAAAATGCTTTATATGTATTTGGTGTTGATGAGGAGGAGGGGGGGGGGAGGGACAATTGCCAAGCACCTAGCATGCTTTATCTCTTTTATCCTCATCAGAGCACTTAATATACATTATATTGTTCTTGCAGTTTCGCAGAAGAGAAAGACAGAAACTCAGAGCTCATCATCTGCCAAGGTCACAGAGCTGCTGGCCACTGGTGTGGAAATTTGAACATCATTCTGCCTGAGTGCTAAACCAGCACTCTCCAGCACTGAAATCTATGATTCCCTAACTGAAGTTCAAGATCCTGTGGGAGCCAGCATGAAAAGAGAAGGACGTAAGGAGAAAATGTCCATCCGGAGAGGTTAAACAAGAGTTCTCTGGTTCAGTGGTTCTCAAACCTGGGGTGATTTTGCTCCCAGGGGATACTTGGCGATGTCAGGAGACCTTTTTGGTCATCGCTACTGTGTATATGTGGAGGGTGCTACTGGCATGTGGTGAGTAGAGGCCAAGGATGCTGCTAAACATCCCACAGTGCACAGGACAGCCTGCAAGTAATTATTTGCCCGATGGGACTGAGGCTGAGAAACCCCGCTCTATTTTGAAAGCAGTCAGTGAATATGGTTAGCTATTCCTCAGAAGCTTTGCCATCTAAATACTGGTCACCACCTGAATGAAACCCAGTGATTCATTTCTTGGTGACCCAACATAGTCAATCCTGTCAACGCCCCACTTATACCCTATACAGTGACGATGGGATCCTGATGCAGCCTCTGTGACTCCACACCTAAGGGCGTTCACTCAGCCTGTGTGTGTTGGGGTGCGGGGTAGGCTGGAAGTGCTGAGGGTCAAGCATCCCACAGCCAATGACAGAAGGAAGTTGGCTGACAAAAGCCCCAGCTGCTTCATTCCTCAGATTAGACAACACTGAGATGTTCTAGGCTGTCTCCCAGAGCTCCCCAGTGGGACCGACACTGTGGCCCGTAGCTGTGGCCTGATCATGAATGCACCTTGCGTTGACTTCCCTTCCTGGTCTTCTCCAGTGCTTCCTGGGACCATCCCCCACCTGTGACAAACCACTTCTCCCATATTCTTAACTCAAGTTTGCTTCTGGGGGAACCAAATCAAAGATGCCTGGTCACAGGATAAGACTAATAACCTGACTGGGGGGTAGGAGTGACTCTGTCCAAAGCCTGCATCTTGGAAAAAGACTCCAAAATGTACTGGTAAAATAGACTGGTTTCCAAAAATCTTGGGAACGGCTTAATGGGTATGGGGAGCTTTACCTTTTAACCACACAATGAAGAGGACCCCTTGCCATATACACCTGCACCTCTTAAACTCTCAGACAGAACAATAATACTGAGAAATGTTAACAGGTGCCTTTTAGAGGGAAAGATTCCACATCAATAATGGTGTAAAACCCTAGGTTGAATAAAGCCAAACGAATTTCTTTACAGTAGAATTTCTCAGAGCCTTTAATATATTTATGCATGCTATCGTTCTTTAGGAAGGAGCAATATATTCGCCAAACTTTTTTTTTTTTTTTTTTTTGCCACAAAATTCTTTGTCTTTTTGTTAGGGGTATCCAAGCATTACCAAGCCTTAGAAGGTTTCCTGAATATCGTTTTCTGTTGCTGTCTCCAGGATCATTTCCCACCACTCCATCCTTCTACCTCACACTTTAGCAAAGGTGAATTATTTGTTCCTCCAAGATATTTCCAGTTTTACCCCTCTCTGTGCTTTTGCATGTGGCTGGCTGTTCCCTCTATCCAGAATGTCTCCATCAACTCCCTTTGTCTTTCTGGTAAATCCCTAGTCATCCCTTCAAACCCAGTTCAAATATTATCCCCCCCATGAAGCCTTCCTTCTATAGTTCAAATACATCTTCATTGCATACATTTACATTTGCATCACAGGAATTTTGTTCCTTTGTTGTTTCCCACGGGTCTGAGAGCTCTGAGGACACCGTGCCCAAGGATTCTCATCTGCACATCCTCAGCTTATAGCACAGTCTCTAACACAGAGAGAGTGATCAATACGCATTTTCAGAATTAAGTTAAACTGGGTCATATTTGTGGGATTGGCATATCCACCCTTGAACTAAACTCACTATGCATGTTATGAGGAAAAGAAAAGTGGTAACATCCACCTGGTAACAATTAGACAAAGATCCAGCTAAGACAGGGAAGCCCATGACCACCCCACATTATTCTTTCTCTTAAGAAACATTTCATCTCTCTGGAAGAGGAAATAAGGTCACAAGTGGGATTACAGGGAAGTAAGCAAAGGTGAACCTACCTGTAGGACTGGCAGATGATGTGGGTGCCACATGTACATGGACTGGTCCTGTGACACCTCCATGGGCTGCTTCATTGGGTATCTTTGTAATACGCTCCACGACGCCATCAGTCCCTGTGGGTGAGGGTGGAGAAGAAACCTGGGTTAATTCATCTCATCCAGAGAGAGAGCACTGTTCAAATGAATCCACTTCATTGACTATACAACTCAATTCTTCTCAAGTCCAGGACTTGAGCCAGGGCTGTATGCCATGAGTGACCAGCCCTGTCCATTCGCCCATTCATCCACCCATAGATTTGTCCATCTTTCCTTCTACCATTGCTATATGTACCCATCCATCCTTCCTTCTTTCATTTATCCATTTTTCCATTCTTCCTTTGATCCTTCTATTCCCCCAACCACCCTTCTACCTTCTTACCATCCTGCTTATCCCTTGCTTCCTGAACACCCATGACTCAACTACTGAGCCATGTTTTAAGACCCGGATCAATACCTGTCAATGTACCAATCAATTTTATTGTGAATTGAGAGGTAACCAAGTCATCCTCCTATAGATGTTGTCCATCAAAGCAGGTGCTAAAGTGGTTAGCGCACCTGTCTCCCAAACAAAAGTTGGGGCCAAATTCAACTTTTCAGAGGAATGGAATCCCCAAGAGGTTCCTTTCCTCATCTTCAGATCTCTTGGAGGGGTGTACCTCTTCCTAGGCCCCAAGTCCTTCCCACATCCCATACATACTTTGTTCCATCATCTTTTATTTGCTCACCAATTTCTTCACTTTTCCCTTGTGTTTGACTCTGTCCTTAATATAAAAACATAATCATTTCAAAGGGGGATATTGAGCCTATATCTATGTGAAATTTAGCTGTTTTGCTAGTTCTATTCAACCTGTTCATACTCCCTTCATTAGAGTCCCTGAGGGCCCACACGTTGTCAAATGACTCACCTCATTTCAACTTGACTATCAAGCATCTGATGGGACTGACAATTTTCCTTCCTAAAACTCTCCCCTCCTATAGCTTCTGTGATGCCAGAATCTCTTTCTTTTTCTCCTCCCTCCTGACCACTGCTGCATAGCCTAATAATTAAAAGCATAGATTCCTAGTGCCATATAGTCTGAGTTCTTACTACTTATTAGCTTTGTGATCTTGAGCAAATCACTTAACCTTCTGTGCCTTGGTTTACTCATCTGTAAAATGAGCTTATAATCATCTTTTCTTTAAAAAAGTTGTGTTGGAATGAGGATTAAATAACTTAATTTTTTTTAATGTTTATATTTATTTGAGAGAGAGAGAGAGAGAGAAGCAGAAAGAGAAGGAGACACAGAATCTAAAGCAGGCTCCAGGCTCTGAGCTGTCAGCACAGAGCCTGACATGGGCTGGAACCCACGAACTGCAAGATCATGACCTGAGCCAAAGTTGGATGCTTAACCGACTGAACCCACCAGGTGCCTGAGGATTATGTAACTTAATAAAACAGTGCCTTGACATAGAATAAGTGCCCTAGGAAAATCTATTGTTACTGGAGTGCCTGGGTGGCTCAGTTGGTTGAGTGTCTGACTTGGGCTCAAGTCATGATCTCACAGTTCATGGGTTCAAGCCCTGCGTTGGGCTCTGTGCTGACGGCTTAGAGCCTGGAGCCTGTTTCAGATTCTCTGTCTCCCCCTCTCTCTGCCTCTCCCCTGCTTGCCCCTGCTTGTGTGTGTGTCTCTCTCTCAAAAATAAATAAGCATTAAAGAAATAAAAATCTATTGTTATTAGCATTATCGTTGTCATAATCATAGTAATGTTAAAACATCTATCATGGTACTGGAGTCATCCAATGACTTGCTTATTTATATTTGCTTCTCCAGTGCCTAGAACTGAGGATAGATCAACAAATGTTTGCTGAAAGAATTTCTGTGCAGTAATAAACTCCTAAATAACTCCTTTATACCTCTCAGGAAAAGAGTCATCTCCTATGAGCCCCTAATAATGGGAGTACAGGATCAGTAGGTCCTTACTTGTCAGCTGTGTTGAGTGTGGAGGAAGTTGAGAAGCCCTCGTCTCTGTTCCTAAGTGAATCTGCTCTGTCATTCTGGTATCCACACTGGATGAGAAAGATGTCCTGACTGGCTTGGTCCATGTCTCCAAAGTACTGGCCACAACCAAGGGTCCTTCAGCAGTGCTGCCCTCTGTCCCTGTGTTGGTGGCCACTGTGTGCGGGGTAGCCGTTGAGGAAGTGCTCCCCTGGGGGGCTGGGCTGGTTGAAACATCTGTGGTAGTGGAGGCCGAAGAGGGGAAAGGCATTGAAACTGATGAAGGTAGACTGTCTGCCACAGTGGACAGAGCATCTTTAGGGCCTGGTTGCGTCCAAAATAATGGACTGGCTGAGAAGGCGGCTGAGCTGGCACCTGGGACTCCAGATGTAGCTGCTGACGGAGAAGGTGCCAATGTGTCAGCTGAAAGGGTCTCAGCTGAAGACAGCATTACTGTGCTCAGGTGATGAGTCCTTTCTGATACAGACACAGAAAGCTTGGGTTCTGGGAAGGAGGTTACACTGGCAGGCCCTGCGAAAGAGAGAGATGCGTAAGAGAGAGAGATCCACTTGAATTCCATCACACTGCCAAGATGAAGGCTGGTCCAAAACTCATATTTTCCCAGTGACTTCAGGCTTAGAACCCTTGAAAGTATGAGTGGACAGGGGCACCTGGGTGGGTCAGTCAGTTGAGAGTCTGACTTGTGATTTCAGCCCAGGTCACGATCCCAGGGCTGTGGGATCGAGCCCCATGTCAGGCTCTGTGACAAGGGTGGAGTCTTCCTGAGATTCTCTCTCTCTTCCTCTGCCCCTAGCCCCTGATCTTGCGCATACTCTCTCTTTCTCTCTCTCCCTCTCTGTCTCCAAAATAAAACAAAACAGAAAAACATTAGCGGACAGAGGAGAGAAAGGTGTGTTTAAAGGTGACTATAAACTAGAGTCTAGGGCTATGAATGTCTCCTGCAGTCCAGGAGAGAGATGGGAAAGTGGCCCTGCCTCAACGTTCTGGGGCCAAAGAAGATCAGTATTGGAGTGGAAATATTAGTCTCTTCCATGGAACAGATAATGCCCATTGGATAAGAGGTTCTGCAAAGCTCATTAGGACAGAGAAAGGTGCCACATTGCAGAAAAGCTAGTCTACACTTTAATTACAACTATAGTTGTGAAAAGAAACTTATATTCTTTTAATTTACAGTAATGTCAAGGGTGGCCATTGTTTCAAAGGAGGTGCTCTTCCATAATGGAGATAAAATGATTAAAGATCCCAAGACTATGACTAATAAAACTCTGTCAGAGCTAGAAATGTGAGGTAAGGTGAGAGGAATAGGAAATAATTTTCTTTTTTTTTTCTTTTTTTTTTAATTTTTTTTCAACGTTTTTTATTTATTTTTGGGACAGAGAGAGACAGAGCATGAACGGGGGAGGGGCAGAGAGAGAGGGAGACACAGAATCGGAAACAGGCTGCAGGCTCCGAGCCATCAGCCCAGAGCCTGACGCGGGGCTCAAACTCACGGACCGCGAGATTGTGACCCGGCTGAAGTCGGACGCTTAACCGACTGCGCCACCCAGGCGCCCCAATAGGAAATAATTTTCCAATATCAGTTATTGTGAAAGAATCTAAAGAAAGGAAGGGGGAAGCATGGAACACTACCAAAAAAGCAAAAGCAGGGTTTATAAGAAAGAAAGAAAGAAAGAAAGAAAGAAAGAAAGAAAGAAAGAAAGAAAGGAAGAAAAGGAAAGAAAAGAGAGAAAAGGAAAGAAAAGAAAGAAAAGAAAAGAAAAGAAAAGAAAAGAGAAAAGAAAAGAAAAGAAGAGAAAAGAAAAGAAACTCTTGCTTAATGTATCCTTGCAACAATCTGCGTGCTATGGATCCTCTCTCACCCACTAAAATGTGAGTCACTCAGCCACCAACTGTAGTTAATGTGTCCAAGGTAAGGGTATCCTATGATATAGCCATAGAGTACCTTTCTTGGTGATGATGGTGACTTTTCCAATATCAACACTAGGGGAAGAGGTAGAAAGCCCAGTGTTGAATTCCATAGGGATGTCTGGTGACATTGTGGGCAGAACAGGGCCAGGCACAGATGTCTTGCTGGGGGACATGATGTCTGTCCTGGAGGCCTCAGCACTGGTCCCAGTGAAGACCTCAGAAGGGATGCTGATGTCCTCTGGGGCTGAGCTGGTGGGCTGGGACATGATGGTTTCCCTCATTTCCAGGGCGAGAGGCGACGTTGACTGTGTGTCAGTCTCCATGGTTCCAGAGTGGCCAGGCATTGGTGTGGGAGCCATGGTGTCTCCATCAACGGAGAAGGTTTCAATTGGAGACATGTGTGGGGCTGTTGTTGAGCCAGCTGGGGCTGAGGAGTGGACTTCCCATGCAGTACTGAGGGTCCCCACGTGGGTCACTGCTGTGTTTTCAGGAGGGTGAATGGACTTGGCAGTGGTAGAGGCTTCAGACATGTCCTGTATTTCCACTGAGGTCTGACTCAGACCTGAAGGTGAACTGGTCACACTTTCTGAGCTCATACCCCATGTGCTGTGGGACCTCAGCAGGCCAGTGGTGACAGGTAAGGTGACAGAGTCAGAAGGAAAAGGACTACTGGCTGGCAATGTGTTGGACACTGAAGAAGCTGAGGTCATGGCATGGGAAGGCACCAGGGGAAATGGAGAGCTGATGTCCTGCTCAGAGGATGGGCTGGTACGTGACTCATCCTCAGAACCTCTGTCCGCACTAGTGGTCATCTCTGCTCCTGTAGAATCCTGAGTCATACCTGAGTGCATATGAGCCCCTGAGGCTGTGGCTGATGTGTTCCAAGGAAATGTGCCCTGGGATGTAGCCTCCAGGGGAACAGTTTCAGTCGCTATGGTTTTAGGTGCAGCTTCTGCCACGACGGGGGAGGTGGAGAGCTTGGTGTTGATTCTCGAGGTGAAGTCTTTTGAAATTGTGGGCCAAATAGGGACAGGGATGGATGTTCCCTTAGGCGAGATGACGGCTGTCCTGGAGGCCTCAGGACTAATACCAGTGGACACCTTGGAAGGGACAGTGCTTTCCTCCGGAGCTGAGCTGGTGTGGGGATACATGCCACTTTCCCATGGTTCCAGGGCCAGAGATGACACTGACAATGTCACAGTCTGTGTGGTTCCAGAGAAGCCAGGCATCGGCATGGAGGCTGTGGCATCCCCATGGAGGGAAGAAGTCTCAACTGGAGACGTGCCTGTGGCTGTCTCTGAGCCAGCTGGGGCAGAGGAGTGGGAATCCCCTACAGAACTGAGGGTCCCCACGTGGGTCACTGCTGTGTTTTCAGGAAGGTAAATGGCCTCTATAGTGGAAGAGGCTTCAGATGAGGTCCGGATGTCCACTAATGTGCTGCTTAGACCTGAGGGTGAACTGGTCACACCTTCCAAGCTCATGTCCCATGTACCGGGGATCATCAGCAGGTCAGGGGTGAGAGATGAGGTGACATGATCAGGTGGAGAAGGGCTAGTGGCTGGCAGTGTGGGAGACACTGCAGAAATCGAGGACATGGCAGGTAAAGGCATCAAGGAAGATGGAGAGCTGATGTCTTGCTCAGAGGAAGGGCTGGTGGGTGACGCATCCTCAGAACCTGTGTCCACGCTAGCGGTCATCTCTGAGCGTGGAGAACCCTGAGTCACAACCAAGTGTGTCTGTGCCCCTGATGCTGTGGCTGATGTGTCCCAGGCTAGTGTGCCCTGGGGTGTAGCACCCAGGGGGACAGTTTCAGTGGTCATTGTTATAGGTTCAGATTCTGCCTTGACAGGGGAGGTAGAGAGCCTGGTTTTGATTTCTGTGGGAATGTCTGGTGACACTGTGGCCTGACCAGGGCCAGGGATGGATGTCCTGCTGGGGGACATGACGGCTGTCCTGGTGGCTTCAGGACTAGTACCAGGGGACACCTCAGGAGGGACGGTGATTTCCTCTGTGGCTGAGCTGATGTGCCAGGATGTGCTGGTTTCCCGTGGTTCCAGGGCCAGGGACGACGCTGACTGTATCTCAGTCTCCGTGGTTCCAGAGAGGCCAGGCCTTTGTGTGGAAGCCAGGGTGTCCCCACTGAGGGAGGAGGTCTCAACTGGAGACATTCCTGTGGCTGGCTCTGAGCCATTTGGGGCCGAGGAGTGGGATTCCCATGTGGAACTGAGGGATCCTGTGTGAGTCATCGCTGTGTTTTTGGCATGGGAAATGGCCTCTGTAGCAGTAGAGTATTCAGATGTGTCCCGAGTCTCCACCACTGAGATGCTGGTCAGACCTGAGGGTGAACTGGTCACCCCTTCTGAGCTCATGCCCCACGTGCTGGGGGTCCTCATCAGGCCAGGGGTGAGAGGTGAGGTGACAGGAACCAGAGAAGGACCAGTGGCTGGCAGCGTGGGGGGCACTGCAGAAGTTGAGGTCATGGCATGAAAAGGCACCAGGGAAGATGGAGAATTGATGTCTTGCTCAGAGGAAGGGCTTGTGTGTGACTCATTCTCAGAAACTCTTTCCATGCTAGTGGTCACCTCTGAGCGTGGAGAACCCTGAGTTATTGCTGAGTGTATATGAGACCGCCCGGCTGAGGCTGATGTGGACCAGGCTAGTGTGCCCTGGGAGGTAGCTCCTGGGGGAACTGTTCTGGTGGCCATGATTATATGTGCAGATTCTGCCTCAATGAGGGAGGTAGAGAGCCTGGTGTTGATTCCCATGGGGATGTCAGGGGACATTGTGGGCTGAGAAGGGACAGGGATGGATGTCCTGCTGTGGGAGATGACGTCTGTCCTGGAGGCCTCAGCACTAGAACCTGTGGACACCTCAGGGGGGATGGTGATTTCCTCCGTGGCTGAGCTGGTGTGCCGAAAGGAGTCCAATTCCCACAGTTCTGGGGCCAGGGATGACGATGACACTGTTTCCTTCTCTGTGGTTCCCAAGAGGCCAGGCATTGGTGTGGAAGCCGTGGTGTCCTGACCGATGGAGGAGGTCTCGATTGGAGATGTTCCTGTGGCTGGTTCTGATGAGGCTGGGGACGAGGAGTGGGATTCCTGGGCAGAACGGAGGGTTGCCGCATGGGTGACTGCTGTGTATTCAGGAGGGTGAATGGCCTCTGTAGGGGTAGAGGCTTCAGATGTGGCCCAAGTGTCCACTAACGTGCTGGTCAGAACTGAGGGTGAACTGATCACACCTTCTGTGCTCGTGCCCCACGTGCTATGGATTGTTGGCAGGCCAGTGGTGAGAGGTGGTGAGGTGACAGGAGCAAGAGGAGAAGGCCTACTGGCTGGCAGTGTGGGGGACACTGCAGAGGCTGAGGTCATAGCATGTAAAGGCACCAGGGAAGATGGAGAGCTGATGTCCTGCTCAGAGGAAGGGCTGGTGGGTGACTCACCCTCATAATCTCTGTCCACACTAGAGGTCACCACTGAATGTGGAAAACCCTGAGTCACAGCCAAGTGTGTCGGTGCCCCTAATGTTGTGGCTGTTGTGTCCCAGGCTACTGTGTCCTGGGATGTAGCCCTTGGGGGAACGGTTTCAGTGGCCATGGTTATAGGTTCAGATTCCGCCATGACAGGGGAGGTAGAGAGCCTGGTGTTGACTTCCGTGGGGATGTCTGGTGACATTGTTGTCTGAACAGGGAAAGGGATGGATGTCCTGCTAGAAGAAATGACATCTGTCTTGAATGCCTCAGTGGTAGTCCCAGTGGACACCTCAGAGAGGATGCTGATAGCCTCTGGAGCTGAACTAGTATGCCAGGACATGACCGTTTCCCATGTTTCTGGGGCCAGAGGTGACATTGACTGTGTCTCAGTCTCTGTGGTCCCAGAGAGGCCAGGCATTGGTGTGGAAGCTGTGGCATCCCCAGGGAGGGAGGAGGTCTCAATTGGAGACATCCCTGTGCCTGGCTCTGAGCCAGCTGGGGCTGAGGAATGCAATTCCAGTGCATGACTGAGGGTCCCCACATGGGTTACTGCTGTGTTTTCGGGAAGGTGGATAGACCTTGTAGTGGTAGAGGCTTCAGGCGTGGCCCATATCTCCACTGAGGTCTGACTCAGACCTGAAGGTGAACTGATCACACCTTCCGAGCTTGTGCTCCATGTGCTGGGGATCTTTAGCAGGCCAAGGGTGAGAGGTGAGGTGACAGGAACAGGAGAAAAACTCCTAGGTGGCAGCGTGGGGGACACTCCAGAGGATGAGGTCATGGCAGGTAAAGACACTAGGGAAGATGGAGAGCTGATGTCTCTCTCAGAGGAAGGGCTTACTCGTGACTCACCCTCAGAACCTCTGTCCACACTAGAGGTCACCGCTGAATGTGGAGAACCCTGAGTCACAGCCGAGTGTGTCTGTGCCCCTAATGCTGTGGCTGAAGTGTCCCAGGCTACTGTGCCCTGGGATGTAGCCCCCAGGGGAACAGTTTCAGTGGCCAAGTTTATAGGTGCAGATTCTGCCATGATGGATGAAGTAGAGAGCCTGGTGGTGATTCCTGTAGAGAAGTGTGGTGACATCGTGGGCTGAACAAGGCCAGGGATGGATGTTTTGCTTGGGGACATGATGGGTATCCTGGGCGCATCAGCATTAGGACCAGTGGACACCTTGGAAGGGACAGTGATTTCCTCTGGTGTTGAGCTGGTGTGCTGGGCCATGATGGTTGCCCGTGGTTCTGGGGCCAGGGATGATATTGACTGTATCTCAGTCTCTGTGGTTCCCAACAGGTCAGGCATTGTTGTGGAAGCTGTGGCATCCACATCAAAGGAGGAGGTCTCAACTGGAGATGTCCCTATGGCTGTCCCTGACCCAGCTGAGGCCAAGGAGTATGATTCCCATGCAGAAGTTAGGGTCCCCACGAGGGTCACTGCTGTGTTTTCAGGAAGGCGACTGGCCTCTGTAGTGGTAGAGGCTTCAGACGTGGTCTGGATATCCACTAGTGTGCTGGTCAGAACTGAAGATGAACTGGTCACACCTTTTGAACTCATGCCCCACATGCTGTGGGTCAGCAGGCCAGGGGCGAGAGGTGAGGTGACAGGAACAGGAGAAGGATTAATGGTTGGCAGTGTGGAGGACAGTGCAGAAGACCAGGTCATGGCAGGGAAAGGCACCAGGGAAGATGGAGAGCTGATGTCCTGCTCAGAGGACAGGCTGGTGGGTGATTCATCTTCAGAACCTCTGTCCACACTAGTAGTCATCTCTGACAGGGGAGAACCCTGAGTCACAGCTGAGTGTGTCTGTGCCGCCGATGCTGTGGCTGATGTGTCCCAAGCTACTGTATCCTGGGATATAGCCCCTGGGGGAACAGTTTCAGTGGCCATGGTTATAGGTTCAGATTCCACCATGACAGGGGAGGTAGAGAGCCTTGTGTTGATTTCTGTGGGGAAGTCTGGTGACATCGTGAGTTGAACAAGGCCATGGGTGGATGTCCTGCTGGGGAACATGATGTCTGTCCTGGAGGCCTCAGCACTAGTCCCAGTGGAGACCTCGGAAGCAATGCTGATGTCCCCTGAGGCTGAGCTGGTATAGGGGGATGTGCCAGTTTCCCATGGTTCTGGAACCTTGGACGACTTTGACTGTGTCTCAGTCTCCGTGGTTCCAGAGGAGCCAGGCATTGGTGTGACAGCCATTGTGGTCCCACCAGTGGGGGAGGTCTCAATTGGAGATGTGCCAGTGGCTGTCTCTGAGACAGCTGGGGCTGAGGAGTGGGCTTCCCATGCAGTACTGAGGGTCCCCATGTGGGTCACTGTTGTGGTTTTGGGAGGATGAATGGCCTCTGTAGTGGAGGACGCTTCAGATGTGGCCTGTTTCTCCACTGAGATGCTGCTCGGTCTTGAGTTTGAACTGGTCACGCTTTCCGAGCTCATGCCCCATGTCCTCAAGAGGCTGAGGGTGAGAGGTGAGGTGACAGAAGCAGGAGGAGAAGGGCTAGTGGGTGGTAATGTGGGGGACACTGCAGAGGCCGAGGTCATGGCATGGAAAGGCTCCAGAGAAGATGGAGACCTGATGTCCTGCTCAGTGGAAGGGCTTCTGCGTGACATATCCTCAGAAACCCTGTCCACGCTAGTAGTCCCATCTGAGTGTGGAGAACTCTGAGTCACAACTGAGTGCATCTCTGCCCACGAAGCTGTGGCTGATGAGTCCCTGGCTATACTGCCTTGGGATGTAGTCGGTCGGGGAACTGTTTTGGTGGTGTTGGATATGGGTGAGGATTCTGCGATGACAGGTGAGATAGAGAGCCTGTTGTTGATACCCGTGGGGATGTCTGGTGACAATGTTGGCAGACCAGGTCCAGGGATGGATGTCCTGCTAGGGGAGATGACAGCTGTCCTAGAGGCCTCAGCACTATTACCAGTGGACAGCTCAGAAAGGACGGTGATTTCCTCTGGGGCTGAGCTGGTATGGCGGGATGTTCCAGTTTCCCGTGGTTCTGGGGCCTGGGATGACATTGACTGTGCCTTTATCTCCGTGGTTGCAGAGAGGTCAGGCATTGGAGTGGAAACCATGGTGTCCCCATCGAGGGAGGAGGTCTTGACTAGAGATGTGCCTGTGGCTGATTCTGAGCCAGCTGGGGCCGAGGAGTGGGATTCCCTTGAGGTACCGAGGGTCCCCACCTGGGACACTGCTGTGTTTTCAGAAGGGGGCATTGTATTTGTAGTGGTAGAGGCTTCAGGCATGGCCCATATCTCCACTGAGGTCTGACTCAGGCCTGAGGGTGAACTGTTCACACCTTCCGAGCTCGTACCCCATGTGATGTGGGTCCTCGGCAGGCCAGTGGTGAGAGGTGAGGTGACAGAGTCAGAAGGAAAAGGACTACTGGCTGGCAGTGTGGGGGACACTGAAGAAGTCAAGGACATAACTTGTAAAGAAGGCACCAGGGAAGATGGAGAGCTGATGTCCTGCTCAGAGGAAGGGCTGGCAGGTGACTCATCTTCAGAAACTCTGTCCCCACTAGTGGTCATCTCTGAGTGTGGAGAACCTTGAGTCACGGCTGAGTGTGTCTGTGCCCCCGATGCTGTGTCTGATGTGTCCCAGGCTAGTGTGCCTTGGGATGTAGTCCCTGGGGGACCAGTTTCAGTGGCCATGGTTATAGGTTCAGATTCTGCCTTGACAGGGGAGGTAGAGAGCCTGGTATTGATTTCTGTGAGGATGTCTGGTGACATTGTGAGCTGAACAGGGCCAGGGGTGGATGTCCTGCTAGAGAACATGACGTCTGTCCTGGAGGCCCCAGCACTAGACTCAGTGGAGACCTTGGGAGAGATGCTCATGTCCTCTGTGGCTGAGATAGTATGGGGGAATGTGCCAGTTTCCTGTGGTTCCAGGGCCATGGACGACTGTGACTGTGTCTCAGGCTCCATGGTTCCAGAGAGGCCAGGCGTTGGTGTGGAAGTTGTGGCATCCCCATCGAGGGAGGAGGTCTTGATCGGAGACATTCTTGTGGCTATCTCTGAGCCAGCTGGGGCCGAGGAGCGGGATTCCCATGTGGAACTGAGGGTCCCCTTGTGGGTCACTGCTGTGTTTTCAGAAGGGTGAATAGCTTCCGTAGTGGTAGAGACTTCAGATGGCATCCATACATCGACTGAGGTTTGACTGAGACCTGAGGGTGAACTAGTTACACCTTCTGAGCTTGTACCCCATGTGATGTGGGTCCTCGGCAGGCCAGCGGTGAGAGGTGAGGTGACAGAGTCAGAAGGAAAAGGACTACTGGCTGGGAGAGTGGAGGACACTGCAGAGGACGAGGTCATGGCATGTAAAGGCACCAAGGAAGATGGAGAGCTGACGTCCTGCTCAGAAGAAGGGCTTGAGAGTGACACACCCTCAGATCGCCTGTCCATGCTAGTGGTCACATCTGAAGGTGGAGAACCCTGAGTCACAGCCGAGAGCGTATGAGGCTCCAAGGCTGTCGCTAATGTGCCCCAGGCTAGCATGCCCTGGGATATAGCTTCCGGGGGAATGGTTTCAGTGGCCTTGGCTATAGGTGAAGATTCTGCCATGACTGGTGAGGCAGAGAGCCTGGTGTTGATTCCCATGGGGATGCCTGGTGACACTGTGGCCCGAGTAGGGACAGGGATGGAAGTTCCACTCCGGGAGATGAACACTGTCCTGGAGACCCCAGACCTAGTACCAGTGGACACTTCGGAAGGGACGGTAATTTCCTCTGTAGCTGAGGTGGTGTGCTGGGATGTGATGGTTTCCTGTGGTTGCAGGGCCAGGGAGGACTTTGTCTGTGTCTCAGTCTCCGTGGTTCCAGAGAAGCCAGGCATTGGTGTGACAGCCATTGTGGTCCCACCAGTGGGGGAGGTCTCAATCGGAGTTGTGCCAGTGGCTGTCTCTGAGACAGCTGGGGCTGAGGAGTGGGCTTCCCATGCAGTACTGAGGGTCCCCATGTGGGTCACTGCTGTGGTTTTGGGAGGGTGAATAGCTTCTGTAGTGGTAGAGACTTCAGATGGGGCCCATACATCGACTGAGGTCTGACTCAGACCTGAGGGTGAACTGTTCACACCTTCCGAGCTCGTACCCCATGTGATGTGGGTCCTCGGCAGGCCAGTGGTGAGAGGTGAGGTGACAGAGTCAGAAGGGTAAGAACTACTGTCTGGAGGTGTGGGGGACACTGCAGAAGTCAAGGACATAACTTGTAAAGATGGCACCAGGGAAGATGGAGAGCTGATGTCCTGCTCAGAGGAAGGGCTGGCGGGTGACTCATCTTCAGAACCTCTGTCCCCCCTAGTGGTCATCTCTGGGCGTGGAGAACTCTGAGTCATGGCTGAGTGTGTCTGTGCCCCTGATGCTGTGGCTGATGTATCCCAGACTAGTGTGCCTTGGGGTATAGCCTCTAAGGGAATGTTTATAGTGTCCATGGTTATAGGTTCAGATTCTGTCATGACGGGGGAAAGAGAGAGCCTGGTGTTGATTTCTGTGGGGAAGTCTGGTGACATCGTGAGCTGAACAGGGCCCGGGCTGGATGCCCTGCTAAAGAACATGATGTCTGTCCTGGTGGCCTCAGTATTAGTACCTGTGGACACCTTGGAAGGGACAGTGATTTCCTCTGTGGCTGAGCTAGTGTGCCGGAACGTGTTGGTTTCCCATGGGTCTGGGGCCAGGGACATCTTTGATGGTGTCTCAGTCTCCGTGGTTCCAGAGAGGCCCGACCCTTTTGTGGAAGCCATGGCATCCCCACCAATGGAGGAGGTCTTGACATGAGATGTGCCTGTGTCTGGCTGTAAGCCCGCTGGGGTCACGGGGTTAGATTCCCATGCAGAACTGAGGGTCCCTACGTAGGTCACTGCTGTGTTTTGAGGAAGGTGAGTGGCCTCTGTATCAGTAGAGTCTTCAGACGAGGCCTGAATCTCTACTGAGGTTTTACTCAGACCTGAGGGTAAACTGATCACACCTTCCAAGCTTGTGTTCCAAGTGCTGTGGGTCCTCAGCAGGCCATGGGTGAGAGGTGACGTGACAGGTACAAGAGAAGGAGGATTACTGGTTGGCAGTGTGGGGGACACTGTAGAGGATGAGGTCATGGAAGATAAAGGCACCAGGGAAGATGGAGAGCTGATGTCCTGCTCAGAGGAAGGGCTTGGGTGTGACACATCCTCTGAATGTCTGTCCATGCTAGTGGTCGTCTCTGAGTGTCTAGAACCCTGAGTCGCAGCCGAGTGCATCTCTGCCCTTGATGCTATGGCTGAGGTACCCAAGGCTAGCGTGCCCTCAGATGTAGTCCTAGTAGTACCATTCTGTTCACTCATGGTTAGTTTTTCACCATTTGTCACAACTTTCATTATATGGCCCCTGATGGTATCTGATGACCTCATGGACTGAGGAAGTGTTGGGGTAGATATTTTGTCATTGGTGTATTTCTCTGTTCTTCTCTCTTCATTTGTAGGAGTGTAACTTAGCGAAGGAGCTATACCTGTTTCCGTTGTAAAGAATGGTATGTATGAGGTAGTTGGTTTGATCGTGTTCATTACATTGAATTTTTGAGTTGTGTCCCCTTGAGGAGTGGAGGTAGTGGTTGTGGCTGGTGACACAGGTTTCCCAGTAGTCCAGTCATGTGTGGGCAGAGAATCAGGCAGTGAAACGGATAGGAGGATATTGGGGTCAGTCTTTGTATTTGGATGGTCAGTGAAAGCCATTGAACCAGGCAGAACTTCCATATTTCTTTTACTGGTAGTCCAACTTGTGTCTAAAATGTCAGGAAGTAAGGTGTTCATCTTCTCGATACCAGAAGTTGAAATGGGCATAGATGCAGTTGTGTCTGAAGGAGTCAATGTTCTCATATTTGTGGACCTCATATCTTCAGCTGAAGCACGAGAAGATGGACTGGCTGGGCTGGTTCCAGTAATAGTCATAATGCCATGGGGAGTAGATAAAGAGCCTGATTCTGTGCTTGATGCTAAGGATGAAGTTGTGCCCATTGCAGAAGTTGTTTTGGGAGAACCTGTGACTTTCAAAATTGAAGTTATGTCTTTCATAGCCGAGGAGCCTGATGTTGGGGCAGAAGCAGTTGTGGATGACCAGGTGGAAGGATGCTCCATGGCAGATGTGCTGGTCTCTGTAGCCAGGGTGCTGTCCATGGTGCTCTCTCTCCTCTTTGGGTTGGACATGGTAGTCAGGACTGAGTTGGTTCCCATAGTGGTGATAGTGGTGATGACACGTGGAGGGGGGGCTGTGGTCGTACTCATCATGCTCGCTTCTGCAGGAAATGAGGTCTGTGACAGTTGCTCAGTCATAGAGGCAGCCTTACTAGTCGTTACACTTGTGACGGCCACCAGCGTCTTAGACTCCATTGAAGGAAATACACCAGATGGTGAAGAGTTCATTTTTCCTCCTGAAGCATCATTGGTAGGGCTGGTGATGGCTTGGCTTTTAAAGGTCAGAGTTGCCGATGTGGTTTGTTCTCTGGAGGTGAGATGCAATGTGTCTGTGGCTTCTAGAGATGCACCATGAATCAGATCACTCCCAGTTGTCTTGTCTGACCGTGTGATAGCAGATGAATAAGCCGCACCCACAGATACACTTGTTTGTTGTTCAGCTGTTCCAGTAGCCACTGCTGAGGAGGAAAGTGTCCTCCCTGTAGAACGGACTTTGGGCAAACCAGTGACATGTGACTGGACAGCTGTGTCTGTGACAGTCCATGGAGAGGTCCCTGGTGCTTGGGTGCTGACTGTGGCCCTGGACTTCCTCTCCGGGCTAGTCATTATAGTTGAAACTGACTTTGCTCCCCTGGGGCTGGAGGTGATGATCACCAAGGTGAGAGCCCCACCCTTGCTTGTTAGTTCTGTCGGATATGATGTCACAGAAGGGACCCCAGGTGGAGATGCCATTTCAGTGGTCTCCAGTCCAGTGATGGACTCAGAATTGGGCCCCACCAAAGGGGAAGTAGCAGATATAGAGGAACCAGTTGTGTCTTTTGCCATACTGGTGAGGCTGATAGCGGCTGAGCCTTCTGACCTGTCAGAAGTCCAAGGTCCTGTTGGAGGAATGTGGGTTGTGAGGGTGGTGGTAGCTGTGTCTGGCTTCACAGGGGAGGCACTCGACATTGGGTCACTCCCAGGTATCTGCTTTGGCCATGGGCCAGATGAATAAGCCTTCCCCACAGATCCACCTGTCTGTCGTTCAACTGCCATTGCCTTTGTACTGAAGGCCGTGGAAGGAATGACCACGGTGCTGACCCACGGCATGGTTTTAAGTTCAGATTTATCTGCCACTGAGCCTGTGGCTACCTTGGAGATAACTAAACTTGTTGCAGAGTCTTGAAGACCAGTGGAAGATGTGCTCAAGGGGAAATGAGTGTCCACTGCGGTCCCCTCGGTGGAGCCAAACCGTGTGGACAAGTCCATTTCAGTTGTCTTTGAAGTCAAGCCTGAGCTGACTTGCTGAACCTTCCCTGTGGCACCTACAGAAGTTGATTCTGGGTGGAAAGAGGACATTGTTCCTCTTGACTGGCTTGTCCCTTCTGGTGTCCCAGAATAAGTACTAGCCCAGGCCTCAGCCGGATGTGTGGAGTGTGAGATGTTATTTGTAACTACTGCCATTTCTGTGGATGATTCTGCTGTCATCGTGTTTCCTGTGGGCAAGGGAAGGAGTTTGGTGCTGACACTCCCTGTGTTCGGGGACTGAAGGGTGGCCAGTCCCACTGTGGTATCCACAGGGACAGTCTCTTTTGGAGTCTTCCTAAGAGAAGTCCCCACAGTGATCCTGGTCTTGTGGCTGCTGCTGGGCTCCTTGGAGCTTGGATTTAGGATATCTTCAGATGTTCCTGGGCTTCTTGTGGGCAGGCCTGTGACTGAAACAGCTCTTCAGTTAGGAAGTTTGCAAGGAGGTAAAAATGGGGCTCTTCTGATTTTGATTCTCCTTCCTCTCTCCTTACAAATCTGCACATAATATGTTCCTCTAGATGGCAGGAATCATACTGTCCAACCCTGTGCCCAATGTTGGGTACATGAGCTTGGTCTACTGGCTCTCAGAGCTCCCTCTGGCATCTTAGGTTTTTATATCAGTGTGGCCTCCATGCAGACCTATATACCACATCTCATGTCTTAGTGGAGGGTAAAGATTCTACACAGGAATAGAGAAAAACTCTCCCAACTTTTGGTGGAGAAAAACTCTTCCTCTCCATTTTTCCACCTTGGTCCAGCCTTCTCAATCAATCTCTTTTAGTCTAATATCTGTCTTTATCCCCTAGACCTCAAAACTGTGATTCTAATGAAAATTTCTGTGGCTTGGTTTTTAACAGGTTAAGGGAAGAGGTAGATTAAGGCACCTTACTTCCTATATATTTTCTTATTCTTTCACCTCTAATTAGGTGAAATGAAGAACCTTTCCACCTTCTAGCATAGAAAGACACATCAAAGTATTGCTTTCAGGAATCAGGACAGCTGTATTCATCCACCTAGCACCTTAAATGGACACCTACTCTCACCTGCAGAACATTGTAACAGTGGACAGCATTATAATCATTTTGTAATTATGAATTGTCCCGTAGAATAAACCAATGGCATCTCAGGTCTACCTTTCCCTGTTCTTGGCAATCCCTGACCTTAGTGATGGTATCTGAATTAGGAAGGCCCTTCACAATTGGTCAGCTGTTTTGTAGAGACATTATATCTGTTCCTAAAGCTGAAATGATTGGCTCTTGAACATATAAATTACTAAGGAGAAGCAAGTCATATTAGAAGTCAATAAATCTCCACTTAAAATGTTACCAATAGCCTCTGGGTACAACAGCAGAAAGTTTTGATTATGTACCAGAACCTGGGACTGAGGAAATCAATTATTTTAGTCCAGAGACCAATCTTAAGCATAATGTACACAGAGGATCATACATACCCAGTCTGCCTGCAGTCACCAGAGACATGGGGTCACCCGTTGACCACATGGTGCCTCCATACGCCCCCTCACTCAGCTCCCCAGTGGTGGTTGTCACAGGCTCCTGAGGACCTGAAGGAAAAGAGGATTGACACGTCAGCCTAGCTTTCCTTCAAGATGGGAACACACAAGAAATGCTCTCACTAGGCACTGACTCAGCATGTCCTCATCTGTCTCTGAGAAGGCACATGGTGAGGACTGACTCTCTTGGCACCAAATCAAACTGATAAGGTGTCTTACATCATAATTATAGAAGAGTTTCCTGTTGATGGTGGGACTGCTGAATTGATTGGCCTCAAGCAAAAGCATTTGGCAGTAGTCTGTCTCTAGCACCTATGTGAATTCACCATTGGTTGATTTTTCTCTCCCATGTTTTAGACTCTCCATAAGTAAAATAAGGATTATATCATGAATTATTATATCAGATTAGCAAACATATGCAAATAATATGTCTTGGTTATGCACTTTCTTATTTCCCTTTATCATTCTTTTATAACTATCATCATGCAGACTTCACATCTGGGGAGGGTAAAGGTAGGCTCAGACTGGAAGGAACTGAATTTGGACTCAAGGATGCTAAAAGCGTCACGAGTTACATAGAGAAAGTAGAATGATCCTACTAGATATGTGTAACCAGATGGACATTCTCAGCAGGAATCCTCTCTTTACCTTTTTGAATAGTATCCACCAAATCTCAGAATGCCCAGTGCAAGAGAAGTCAGGAACTAGGTTCTTACTTGTAAATGGGATACAGGTATTAACACATGGAGCTGAGCTGGGCTGTACATCAGAGGAGCTCTCCTCAGTGGCTAGAGTCACAACTACACCATATGTGGTGGTCTTTGGTGGCCTGGCCACAGAGATCACCTTAAGGGTCCTATATTCTCCCACAGTAATGCTCAGGCACCAAGGATATTCTGGGGAGCCAGTGCCTGGGAAAACTGTGGTTTTCTGGAATTGAATGTTGGTGAATAATGTAGACAGTGTCAGTCCAGAGGCAAGTGAAGGAGAATTAGGGGTTCTGGATTTTTCTGCCTTGGAAGAAACATAAGAAGCTGAAGTTGAGCTTAGAATAAGTACCAGAGGGGACAGGGATTTGGTCTTTTCTCCAAATCCTCCAAGACCTCCAAAAAAGAAGGTCTTGTCTATGATGGAGCCTCTAGCCCTCTGCTCATAGGAGTAGTCATCTCTGAGAGTGAAAAACTGAGTCTCAGCAGAGGGGTTCCTTCCCAGGAGGCTGTGGTCGTGGTGTCCAGAGTAAGAGTGCTCTTTGCCGCAGTCCTAGACGGGCTTGTTGGTGTGTTGAAGGTCATGTGTAAAGAATCAGCCATGTGAGGCAAGACAACGGTTGATGTTGGTTCTTCTGGGGATGCCAGTGTCACCTACTGACTGAGTAAAGCCTGGGATAGGTACAGTTTACTGGGAAGCAAACTCAAGTCCCAGTGATTTCAGTAGTAGCATCCCTGAACATTTGGGAAAAGATCATGCTTTTGTGTCTGTGGCTGTGCTAGAATCCTGAGAAATACCAGTGTCCCTCAGTCCAAGAGTCTGTGAGGAACCAGATTCTTCCCCAGTCCTTGCAGTTTTAGGAAGAATGGAGGCTGAAGTATAAAGGTTGGTTGCCTCTGGAATGAAGGCTGTAACCATTGGTGGCATAACATTGTGTGATTCTGAGTGGGTAGGAACAGGAGAACATGACCAGCCTCAGAACTGGTTGCCCAGACAGAGTCTACCAGTAAAACTGTAAAAGGATGAATTCCCTCTGTGTCTGTAGTGGTCTCAGAAGCAGCCAGTGTCTCCACTGAGGTACTGATCCAACTTGGAGAACTCCTCTCAATTTCTGGGCTCACACCCACCGGCAATCTGGTTTTCACTAGACCCGGTGAGTGACCCCGTCATCTCAGTGGTGTCTCACTTCAGAAAATGGTTTACACTGTCATCTCTAGTGTAGGAGACTTCAAGTTCTGTCCCTTGGAACTTGTACTCAGAGTCAGATTTCCTTCAGGAGGGGTCACTGCTACTGGGTACTTATGCCCTGACATTGTGAATGCTGTAGGAAGAGTTGAGGGAGGGCTCTGCTTGCCTTCCATGCTGGTAAGGATTGGTGCTGGTAAGGACATGATGGCCACTCCTGTGCTGCTGACCACCCAAAGATGCTTGACCTTACCCGTCCTGGACCCTGAAGAGAAGGCTTATACTGAGATGGATGGGCTGGTTTTGGGCTCCAGAATGAGTTCCTGAGAACTTGTGTCTCTATGAGAAGTTGACCTGGTAATAGTTGCAGATGATGGATATGCACTAGTTGTCAAGATCAAGGTATATACAGGGCCAGGCAGAGAAAGGGACCATTTACATCAGGCTGTGTGCTTGGCTTCTCAGAAGAAGCAATGGAAATGTATAGAGTTGTCAGTTCAGGGCTTTCAGCAGTCTGACTCATTCCTAAAGTCTCAGCAAACATAGTGGTCATCTGCTGGCCACAAGGAGAAGCTGTGACATGATAGTGTGTAGTTGTCCCCCCAAGCCCTCCATTGCTAAAACGTGTATTCATGATTTTAGGAAGTATTAGTGATTATGGTAAGGTTTCTATGATTATTAGATTGATCTCTTTGAGTTTGCTTGGAGAGAGCATTTAACAAATCCTGTTTCTGACCAATGGGGGAGAGTCTGTCCTTCCTTTTCTATATCTACTGGTCCTTCCCCATATCTGACCCTTATTTACCAAGTGCCTGTGGTCCCTGCTTCCCACCTGATGCTCTGGATTACTGGATATTATCTCTAAAGATTTAGGGCATAATTTAATATGTATATTATCTTATTATTTCTTATTTTGGAAACTCCTATTTGGCCTTTAAAGAGAATCTAAGGGCAGGGAAGATTAGATTATAAAATGATAGGTCAGTCTCTAAACCTCTATCGCTTCTACCTGACAAGAGAGAACCATTTCCTTTTCAGGAAAACCTCCAGGACACAGAGTTGACTTGCTCATGGTATCACATCCTCCAAGATAGTGGCTTTTTCTCATGTAGGGCTCATTCCAGGAACTATCAACCACCCCTGACCAATCCTTATCATGCTAGCTCTGGACCTCTTTCGATAAGAGCCATCTACTAATGAAAACGTCCTGAACATTGAATGGTCTCTTGTGTCCTTGGAGATATTTAAGTCCCATATTGGAGAAATAGGGCCAAGAGATCTACATTTTTTAGGAGAAATCCAGGTGGTACCAACATCTCAGGCTAGTTCTAGCAGAAACACAACTTACCAGAGAATAGAAAACATGGTTCCTAGAGAGACAAAGTTTAGCAGCAGCTGTCATACCTGCAGAATCAACCACTGTCACAGGTGTTGAAGGGTCACTGTTCAGCCATGAGGAACTTTCATATGTGGGGAAGTGAGTAACGGACACCACAGTCCCATCAGTGCCTGTAGGAGAGACAGGTGGGTTGGATGGATACTGGTCAGTTTAGAGGGAAAGCACCTGAGAAAAACTAATATGTGCCCAGTTTAGAAACAAAGACATTTATTTATAAGGAAATGTTATTCAAAGGCTAGAGACAGGAGAACACAGATTTGGGGGACTGGAACACCAGCTCTGCATGAGAATTGTGCCGTGAACAAGCACGATGAAACAAGATATTAATGGGCAATAATTGAGCCTCTTCTCTCTCTAGTCCCAGAATCAACAGAATCCACATAAAGTCTGGGATCACGGACATCACGTCAAAGTGCTGGTCTAGTCCATAGAAAATGGGCTTGTCAAAGAGTGAGGCAGATGTCTGTCCAGGTGACTTTAAGTCAGATATCCTAATAGGACATAGAGGAGGGCATATGCCAGATAGTGTCAGGAAAGGCTGTCAGATTCCTGATAGGAACCTGCTTGTTTTATAACCAGTGATGACCAAGGTGATGTGATCAGTCATCTCAGGGAGACAAGACAGACACAGAAGCCACATACTTCTATTCCCACTAGTCTTTTTTTAAAAAAATTTTTTTAATGTTTATTTACTTTTGAGAAGAGAGAGACAGAGCATGAACGGGGGAGGGTCAGAGAGAGAGGGAGACACAGAATCTGAAGTAGGCTCCAGGCTCCAAGCTGTCAGCACAGAGCCTGACGCAGGGCTCAAACTCACAGACTGTGAGATCATGACCTGAGCCGAAGTCAGACGCTTAACCGACTGAGCCACCCAGGCGCCCTCCCACTAGTCTTATTGAGATGGACCATCAATCGGAGATACCTAGGGAAGCTTAGTCATGATGGGCTGATTCTTATCTGGGTGAGAACAGGTGACCTCAAGAAGAAGTTTCAAAATCTAAACATAAGAATTTAGTATTCTACCATATTATGTAGCAATTCCATTACTAGGTATTTTTCCCCAAAGAATCAAAAGGACTCAAATAGATATTTGTACGCTAATGTTCACAGCAGCCTGATTCACAATGAGCAAAACATGGAGATAGCCCAAATGTCCATCTATGTATGAATAAGCAAAAGGCGCTATGTATCTACAATGAACTATTATTCAGCCTTAAAAAGGAAAGAGGGGCGCCTGGGTGCTCAGTTGGTTAAGCGGCCAACTTCGGCTCAGGTCATGATCTCACAGTTCATGAGTTTAGGGCCCACACTGGGCTCTGGGCTGACAGTTCAGAGCCTGGAGTCTGCTTCAGATTCTGTGTCTCCTTCTCTCTCTGCCCCTCCCCTGCTCATGCTCTGTCTCTCTCTCCCTTAAAAAAAAAAAAAATAAATAAACATTAAAAAAAGGAAAGAAATTGTGATACAAGCTACAACATGGATGACCCTTGAAAACATTATGCTAAGTGAAATAAGCCAGACACAAAAGGACAAATATTACATGATTCCACTTATATAAGGTACCTAGAATAGTCAGATTCACAGAGACAGAAGTAGAATGGTGATTTCAGATGCTAGGAGAAGGGGAAAAAGAGGAGTTAGTGTTTAATGGGAATAAAGTGTCTGTTGGGGAAGATAAAGGTCTGGAGATGGATGATGGGGATGGTTACACAACAGTGTGAATGTGCTTAATGCCACTGAACTGTATATTACCTCAATTAAAAAAAAGGTTTTAAAAAATGTGAGATTCATCAGGAAGTCTACACTGCACACTATAGAAGGGCAACCCCATACTACCGGTAGAAAACCAGACCCAGGGGCTCTAGTGGCCCCCTAGCCAATTGGACATTTCCCTGAAGCCGGAATCCTGATGCAAGACAAGTCAAATATCCTGTTAAAAAAAGGCGAGGAGATTTCTTACCATCTTCAGTGACCAAACCAAGGAGAACAAAGCCATTTCCAAGAGGGCAGAAAGAGCAGGTCCTTACTCATGGATGGGGGCAAGCTATCCAGATCAGGAACAGATGGTCTGACCCAGAAGTCTCACCTCTGTCAGCTGGAGCCTCTGACGGTACAGAGACAGATGTCCAGGAGGGCTCTCCCTTGGCTTCAGAAGAGGTAAATGTTCCTGATGAGGTCCTGGCCAGGCCACTCTCCTCTCCCAGGCTGGTGTGCTCTGGCCCTGAGGAGGAAAGAGTCTTGGGAGAACTTTGGCTTGTCTGTGCCTGAAAGTCGGTAAGTGCCGATGAGGAGATCCAGCTCGAGGCCGTGGGGTCTAGGGGAGAGGCCCCGGTCACTCCTCTGGAGGATGGGTCAAAAGAATCAGCACTGTGGCTGATGCCGGAGGATGAGTAAGCAGAGGAGTCGATTTCCCTTCCGGAAGATGAGCTGGCCTGTGACATGAGTGGACTTGTCCCTGCGTCCTCCCCGGTGCCCACGGAAGATGTGGCCTCTGGGGGAGATGGGGGAGAGCTTCCACCCAGCAGTACAGAGGCCAGGGAGGGAGCTGATGCCTTCTCAGTAGTTATTTCCCTAAACTTAGGGACGGATGAGGTGGAGCCCACAGTTTCCGGCATTGTGGGGGCAGAGCCCAAGGCAGTGGTCACCTCAGGGGACACAAAGGAGACTGAAGAAGAGGGTTCTGGCCCAACTCTCTCTGTGGTCACTGATGATTCTGACCAGGGGCCACGTTGCCTTCCAGGAGTGGTGGCCTCAGACAAAGCCGGGACCCCCACAGTGCTGTGTGTTAAAGGCAGAGATGAATTCCACTGGGCAACTAAACTTGTTCTCAGATTGACTGTGGTTTTTCCACGGTCAGACGTCTGAGCGACCCCCCTGCTGGTTTCCACAGAGCTAACCATGGCAGCAAGACTCTGAACCTCTGCAGTCCGCCTTGGGGATGAGCTCGTCTCGTCTCGAGACACGGAGCCGGCTGGTCTTGTTGCCCCTGATGTGAGTCTTCTCTTGGGTGTTGAAGTGGTCAGTGCTGCTGGGGATGTGGGCTCTGTCGATGGAGAGGTAATGGGGAGGGGCCGAGATGAGCTCTGCCCGGCTTCTGTGCTGGAGAGGCCTGGAAATCTGGAAGCAGACACATCGGTGCTGTCCCTCATCCCTAAGGCTGTGATAGCTATGGTTGTAGTATCTGAGGGTGAATGAATCAACGAGGCGGACGGACTCATGCTGAGCTGGTGGGAGGCTGTGGCTGTGGGGGGAGTTAAGTCCCCACCCGTGCCCACGGTGGTTGAATCTGTATTTTGGAGAACAGTGGTGTCTACCCCTGGATCTGCAAGTTCATGGGAAGGTACAGAAGGTGTAAATGCAGCAAATGTCTTGGATGAACTTGGACTTGAAGCATCGGGAGCATTTAAGGCCCTTTCCTCTGTTGAGCTGGTACTCAGCCACGTTACCATGGGGAGAGACGTACTGAGAGCCCGGAGCCAAGAAGTGATTGTGCTCTCGTTACTGGTGCTCAGGGTCAAGGACTCACCTGAGGCGTCAGAGGTCAGTTCCAATGTGCTGCTTCCAGAGGGAGGGGAGGCAGAGGCCACGACAGACACTGGTCCTAGGGTTGACCGTGTCCCGAAGCCAGGGGATTTTTCTGCCGGATCTGTGCCCTGGGATCCAGTGAAGCGTTCAGCTGTGTCTGTGCTGGCCCCTGCCATCCTGTCTGGGCTAATGGGACTGGGTGTCCTTGGGATTTGAGGACTTCCAGCATCAGCAGCTGGGCTGGCGGACTCTGTTCTTGCATAAGTGTCTGTGGTTCTGAGCTCTTTCACCAAATGGGATGAAGAGACCTGAGCTGAACGTGTCACCATGGGATCCGGAGGGGGGACGTATGTGGTGGAGGCCCCGGTACCACTGGTGCCGATCTTTCCGGGAAGTGACATCACAGGTGGCGACCCAGAAGAGTAAGAGATTTCATCAGTCTCCATTTTTGCTATTGATACAGCCGTGGTGGCCTTCACCGAGGGTGAGACAAGGGGCGTGTAACTCTCTGGACTGGTTTGCACCTCTCTGAGGAGGACGCCGGGTGAGTCTGTTGGTTCTGGGCGGGTGCCAGAGGTAGCAACACTTTCTTCTGATGGCTCCACTGACGGGGCTGACGATGGAGTAGCCAGGGGAACAGAGACGCCCCTCCCTGTGTCCGCACTGGCTGGGGAGTTGCTAAGTGATGAGGAAGTCCTAGAAGATATGGGCATGTCCCATTTACTAGCCTCAGCTGTGCCGGCTACAGTGCTTGCGGTGACCTTCTGGGCTAAAAATGTGGTGGCCACTGGGACTGGGGCAACAGAAGCAGCAGATGAAGACGAGTTATCAGGCGAGTGAACTGCAGTTGTTTCTGGAGCCAGAGGTGGGCTGGTTTCATCCCCAGAAACTGTAAGCCCCCCAGAGGACAAATCATAGGGGGCCCCAGACAAGGGGCCAGCCAAGTGGCTTGTCCTTCGTACAGTCCTTGAGCTGGAAGCACCAGTGGACTGAGATGCACTCGTTGAGACCCAACGGCTTTCCTTGGCCAGGGAGGCATGTGTGGATGTCTCAGGTGGAGATGCGGTTCCAATGGGCGGGTGGGTTGTTCCCGACTTCCTTTCCCCACCATTTCCCTCTGTGGGCTGCATCCTGGTGGAAGGTCCGGAAGGAACGGTGGCTGGACCTCTTGGGTTGTCTGTTGAAGGCTGCCACACAGACACTCCTTCCGTGGAGCTGGTTTTTAGGGAACTGAATCCAGGAACCACGCCAGCCGCAGAAAGAAGAGGGGCAGTCGCTGACACAGTGCTTCGTGCCGGAGGCGACCTTGTTGCAAATTTGGGACTCGTCTCCGGCCAAGCATTGCTGTGAAGTACAGTGTTGGTCTGTGACATGGCAGCTGCAGGAATAAAAGCAGGGGTCCTCGTCAACCGAGAAGTTTTAGGAAGAGTGGTGTTGGCTGACTGTGCAATGGAGGTGCTGTTTGTGGTCCTGAAGGCATTCGCTATATGGGATGAGGGGTACTCACCTGAGCGTGTAGCCCAGGAGTCCACGGCTGAGAGGGTTTGTGTGGGCACAGAGGTGAAGGCCAAGGTGGTCTTGTCTCTGGAAACAGAGGTCTCAGGTGGAGACACAGATGGATTTAAAGGTTTCTTTGAATCCTCTCCAGTAGTAAATAAAAGGGTGTTGGTCTCTTCTGAGGCAGAGGAGGGGGATGGAGAAAATGAAGTCTTCATTCCAGACACACTGGTGATGCTGAGGGTTCCAGGGCCACCCGACGGTTCCGAAGCCGAAGTCCCGGCTGCGGGGAGGCTGGGCGGGTCTGGGGTCTCGGGGGAGGTGCTGAGGGGGAGCATGCTTCCTGCTGTCTCTTCCCCTGGGGGAGATGGACGGGCCAGGGTAGAGGTGGCACTTCTGACCCTCCCAGCACTTGCCGCTGGATTACTTGCCATTATGGGAAACGTGACAGCTGCATTGGGCTCCGTCCTCTCTGGGCTCCCCGGGATCCCCGTGGTCGTGGAAGAGGTAACTGTCTGCACTGAGGATGTGCTAGAGCCTGGCACTTTATCACCCAGATCTGAAGCAGGTGACAGCAGGGAAACACTGGGGGTTAGCGTGGTGTCTCCCTCAGAACCAAGCTCAGGGGAGGCAAAGTGATGTTCCATGTTGGACCGAGGCAGTCCTGGGCTCCTTTGCTCCCCGGAATCTGGAGTCTCTCTAGATGACGTCTCGGGATAAGTAGAAGAGACCGTCTTGGAGGGCAAGCGTGTGGCTCCTGGAGTACTTGGATTACCAGCCGCCCCCACCTCGGCTGGAGTGACTGGGGCACTTCTCATGGTCTGAGTCAAACCCGTGAGTGTCTCAGATGAAGCCGTATGTTCTGTGGGGAGGTGGGCTGTGGTCCAACTCCTTCTGGTGCTGCTGTTTCCCACCCCACTGGGGACAGTCAGCTGATCAGTGGCTGGGCCGCCTGTGGCTTCTGTGAAGAGTGTGTCTGTCGAGGTTTCTTGGGGTGAAGTTCCTTTGGAGGGGCTGCTCTTTGCAGTGACTTCCGGAGTGGGGGAAGGGCTGACAGAGGTTACCACAATGCTTGAGGACCCCCCAGGATCTGTTTCTGTCCAGCGTGTGCGCTGGGATTCACTTGCGTCCTGAACGGAGCCTGCCTGGGTCTGTGACGCGGCTGTTGGGGTGCTGGAGAGGGGTGCCCTGGAGGGCTCAGAGTTCCCACCGGCAGCCGTGCTTCTGAGCTTGCCCTCTGGGTCAGATGAGGACACCGGAGCCCCACCTGTCACCCTGCTGTCAGGGCTGGAGGCTGTGGTGATAGTCAGATTGTTCTCTCTTCCAGGAGCAGAGACACTGGTCGCGGTCTCAGCTGGGGAAGTAAAAGACAGGGCACTTTTGTCCACGGTGGCCACAGCTGCGGAAACCTCACGTGATAAACTGGTAACGTGCGTGTCCTGGGTGGTTTCAGCACTATTGCCTGCTGTGTTACAGGACAGGGTAGGAGCACTGGACCCAAGGAGGCCCATGGGGCCAAGCAGGGATGCGTCAGCATTTGCCTTTCAGACGCGGGTCTAAGATGTGCCCTCGGAGAGCCAAGCCGGCTGCTGGCATCCTCCACTGGGCTCCCTGCAGTTTTTTCTGGTGGGCGATGTAACTGGGATCTCTGCACTTGTGTTGGACACACTTAGGTCCAGATGACCCCTGTGCACATGGGAGGTTGGGGGAAATCGGGCAGCCTTTCTGAAAGGATGTGGCAACCACAGGAATTTCCCTAAAATAAAAATCTGACCGTATCAGTCCCCTCCTTCAAATCTTATTCGTTTGCCTGTCATGTCCTTAACGATCCACCTTGTCTCTCCCTCTGGCGCT